TTATTTAAGTCTATCAAATTAGCCGTAATATGACAATTAATAGTTATTACTAAAACCATCTTCTTATCAGTCGCAGACCGATGGTAAGATCGAAAGTCTTAATGCCATTTCTGAATGGAACTAGCTACATTAGCTGTATTCATAAGGATCACTTCGGAACGTTTTCTTTCTGATTACTTCCCCACTCGTTTTTAGGTTGTTCTATGCAGTAATTATATACTTTAGACTTTTACCACTAGCTTCACTTGTATGAGAGAAATTACTGTTGACAAGATGAAAGACAAATATGCCTGAGGAATAAGTCTTATTTTATTACAGACGCTGGTATTCAATTTTCGCGTCTGTTTGATCACTGCGTGAGCCGCAAGAAGTATAATCTGATATATGTGGATACGGTTTTGATATAACTTCCCAATGGAGAATTCATCACATTTACCGTATGTATATATGAATCACTAAAAATTCCATTACAGCCGTCTATTTGAAAGGTTTATACTTAGAATAAACACGTTGCCTACTCTTACATAACGTTAATGAAATTTTATACGTTTGTACATAACCCATTCGCTATATGATATGCGTGCATATATATCGAAATCATTCATCAAATCAACGCAGTGGTGAATGCACGGAACACAATGGTTTGATCCAAGATGAGCAACTTACTACGAAATTACGTGCCAGTAAATATTTTTCCGGTAGAATCTACTAAATAATGTAACATGTTCATCGATTTAGGCTTCCATTAGGCTGTGTATCATCCAACCAATACGTCATGTTTTAATTGTTATATACTAATTAGGTATTTATTGATTTGTACCTATATAATTTGAACATTTGATATCTTGACTTATGGCATATAACAATGGAAAGAAAGGAAAGTTGTAAAAATGAGGCCAACTCGAGGTATTAAGTGCCATAGTATAGGATTTTTTTGTTTTTTGAAATTGTTAATATAAGAATATTTGCAATTAGACGTCCTACAACAAATCTACTAACCAATATTGCGAGGGACACCAAAATGATCAGATATGTTTTCATTAATATAATGGCTTTTACCTATCTTCTCAATCTATATATAACTGAAATATGATATTTCGTACATTGAGTCACGATAGGTCGCTTTCCCAAAATATCGTCAATGAATAAACACAAAGAGCACACGCGTCTCGAACTCGCAACCTCGTGGTTACGGCGCCCAATCATCACCATTAAGTTTAACATTTTTTGACTATCTTCTAATATCAGTTTCTCAGTGTTATAATTCTTTATTTCGTTATATTCACAGTAGAAGAAACTGGGACATTGTTTCTCTGGTTATGGTTTTTACGGGCGCGTAGCTAACCATTAGGCACACGGGCAAATTCCTCGCTACTTTTGCAGAAAAATTATTTAAACATTTTTTGAACTGAAACTGTATCTTTACTCAAAGCCCTCTCTTTTGACACGCTCACCTATTTTTAGAGTCTGGCTTTGCTCTTGTCTTACCATTGATGTTATTAACACTGCCATACATTACAATGAACCTCAAATCTACATTGGAGGTACTCAACTTGGGAGATCAATATGTTAGGAAGAGCTCATTGTGTTGCCTATAATTGCCATAAATCTCTATTACATGATGTCTAGGGTCATCAAAAGTTATGAAATATGCATCGATATACACTACAGGTACTCAAAATTTGCATAAGGAATAGATCGAAAATGTTTGAGATTATAATGCAGTGACTCGAAAGCAGTACAAGATGGTATTCCGATATCGAAATTGTGGGTTGTGCCTCATTCCTACGGTACTCTGTGAAATGCTATTCAGAGCATTCTATAGCTACCGATATCCATGACAAGTAGAAATTAATTTGTCACAATGGTTTGGAAGTTGTTTGTAATATTATTGATGATATCTACCAACAAAACATTCCTGGCGTGTGAATAGAAAAGGAACAAATGAACTGGTAATCTAGTCCAGGATTTCAAAAAACGTTCGATGCCGCGTATCCATTACATTGAAACAGAGACATACAAAACATTGAGGTCACTAAAAGAAAAGCGATATACAACGATCGGTATCCAGAAATAAATGATTAATCTATTTCGAAAACAGACAACTAAAAAGTCTTCTAAATGTGAATTACAAATATGAACCCCCATAACTGCAAGTTCACATGTTAAAGTTGCGCCCATTTTTAAAAATGGCCTTCCTCCCACACTAGGCTTTACTAGGCTTACTTTTAAAATATTGGGTTGAAAAAGACTACAAGTCGCTTGCAAAAGACAAGCCTGGCAGGCATAGGGTGTAATTTCATTAGTACATCCTCAGCCGGGATCCTCGGAGACCAATGCCATTATTGTTCGCTAAATATTTCATGGACTGGTTATTGCTTGGAACAATACAAGGGACGCACCATGTATGCATGATTATGTGTAAATTAGAGTATTTTAGATGGCGATTAACTCAGTGAATACCATCCCTCAATCTATTGTACGTGGGTGTCAAAACGTCATTGTCGGAGAAAGTTCTTACTTGGATCAATCTGAACATTTTGATCTTTTACTTATGCAAAAGGCAAATGGTATAATGACTCTGAGGGACGGCCTAGCCCAGAACATTAGGTGTATATAAGCTCTTTTAACTTAAGCAGCAAAATCAAACGATTAGAAATTGTACTGTCGATGTCATAATAAAATCAGGGAATTGATATGCAAAGGGCAATATCAGACAAGTGATGAGCATCAAATATGAGTCATTTTGTGGTTTTGTACCTCATTGGTATTTCATATCGTATCAATCAGTATGGTAATTCTCTTCCATGGTTCATATCTCGTACATTCATATTCCTTAGCATTCATCCCTGTTAAGCATTCTGATACTCGTCAAATCGTTCTCTTGTCAAACTATCAATACCCTTTTAGAAAGGAATTGATAAAGGGCTGTGATATATCACGATGCGTTTTAGTAACATTTGATAAACTATTTTCAATCATTCTGTATTTTCTCTGGCCATCCGTCTTTCCGTCCCCAAATGGCAATAAGCCAACTAAATATTTAACTACCTAAGATTTGCGACGTTTACTATAAGTTATTGAATGATTTGAAGTGCAATACAGGATATATTCTGTTCGAGAAATTCCGTATTGGAACGAGACGAAGCCGAGTGCCAATACAGAATATCGAGACAGAATATATCCTGTATTGCACTTCAAATCATGCAATAACGTTTTTATCGTGTTATCCTCTGTATTGCTACTGAGATTGTCTCCTCCGTACCAATATTTTTTGTATTGCGACGGAGATGATCAACGCGGACAATCTCAGTAGCAATACAGATTGGTACAGCACAAGAACTGACCAATCAGAGGGCTTCATTTTACAGATCATACGATAATATAAGTTATTGAATGATTAGACGTGCAATACAATATATTCTGTTCGAGACATTCCGTCACGAGACGAAGTCGAGTGCAAATACAGAATATCGAGAACAGAATATATCCTGTATTCCACTTCAAATCATTCTATCACGTTTTTATTGTGTGATCTCAGGCCAATACATTTTACTTAGGAGATAATCCCTAGGAAATATTCTTTTTTTATTCCTTTTTTTATTCATAGAAAAAACATTTGAAAGTCCTAGGAAATATTCTATATTCTCTGAATTGCTACTGAGATTGTCCACTCCATATCAATAGTTTCTGTATTGCCATAGAGATGATCAATGGGGACTATCTCAGTAGCAAACAGATTGGAACAGTACAAGAACAGACCAATCAGAAGGCTTCATTTTACAGATCATACGATAATTTTTTTTATCAAAGGTTGATAAGCTGTCTTATGTCTCATGTTGAAACTGGGCGTGCTCAAACGTTAATTCAATAGCCCATCCGGGCCCTCGGTAAAATTTTATATATATTTCCTTTAGAATAAATCCCAGATCCAATACTTTCTACAACAGAACCCTCATATAGCATATACCATAAGTTTCACAGAGGTGGTCGTGTGGATGCTAATCTTTTTTGAAATTACCCGCTTTTGTGATTAATTTCAATATAAGTATACAATTGTGATTATTTTCATCAACGGATTTCTTTCGGAACGCGGGTCCTCTGGATAAAATAAAAAAGTTATGTACTGGATCCATGGAAGGATACGGTTGTAGGGGTTATTCCGGGCGATTACATCCTAAATCAATCTAAGTATGAGATACATGTATAACTATCGTCGCCAGGATAAACCCTATATCCAAAGCCTTCAACTAAATGACCCTCATATAAAGTCTACTTATGCGAATCATGTATCATTTGAGGATGTGTCTTTAAGTTTATTGCATTCAAACAAACGGCAATAATTACACATTTAGTTCCATTGACAATTACTAGATACAACTTCACATGTGCATCACGTACCGTAGAACGAGTGTTCAAGTCATCAAGTGACCAAAACACTGAGTCACAACTACCAAAGGACAGTGTCGTATTACATATAACGTTCCCAACATCTCCGAGGCCGATTAAGAACAATCATGACAAATCTGACCCTCTGTTGAATGCTAATCATCTACAGATAGTATAAATTGTACATTGTCTAGTTATCATTCGATTAGGGTGTCTCTGGGATATGCATCTGTCCCGGAAGATTTGTAATCGAAGCCAGATACGTTCCAGACGTCACTTAACTTGTTTGAGCCAAATTACAACCCGACTTTCTAATTATATTGCTCAATATATAATGTGCATCAATTTGTATGTTTTAGTATCTCTTTTAACTGAATAATTGATGTAGAATTAACAATGTTGTAATTGAATTAATGAAAAACTAGCAAAACAACCCGCTCAACCTAGTTTATACAGCCTATGTATCTTGATGTCGGGTCGGTTCTGATAAAAGTTCCGATAAAATGTGATTGTAGTTTAAGATAAAAATAAAACAGGAATAATAGAATGTTAAAGATTATAAAAACACTTTATACAAGTCATTTTTTTTATCTTGATTTATATGTTCTTACCTTCGGAATGTTAACTTTGCGACCTCGGTGGCCCTATTACATTTATCTATAGATGGTCGCAGGACGCTGTCTCTCAGCGCGTTCATGTTTCCAAACGGCATCTTTTCCTGAGATTATTCTTTTGGTCCGATTCTGGCCAGCTTGTGTTTCAAATGTGCGCGCAGCAAATCTCTCGAATGAATCAAAATTATAATATCTGATACGTTTTGTTGAGTTAGTGGTACATCGAGGTGAAGAAATTCATTGCAATTAATTTACAATCGTAATAGTCATCCACTGCCTCGATGTTTACTGGTTAATCCTTGAAAGCCCCTCCGCGCTCGTAATTCCTTCGCTCCCAGAGTTGAAATCGCCGCTTTACGCCTGATCATACACTCTGAAATTGCATCTAAATTTCAAATCTGCAACCCATTTGCATAATAGCGTTTCTGGATGGTTTGGTACCTGCATTTGGTGCGGGGTTATTTTCTCGATAGGTGATTCGATTAATTTACGGTTAATCTGCCCGGGTTTTGTCGTTCCAGTTTCTGAGTCCGTTCTGTTCTCGTGGGCGGCCGGGTTATCATTCACTCCCTAAAATCTTCGTCTCAGAAAGTATACCTCAAACGTCGGCCGTTCTGATATTCCCAGCAGTGAATCAGGCCGGTTCTGATTCTGTTAGACCAGTTAAATTATTGATAGCGTTTTATATGCACTTATATCATAGAAGTGACGTCACTGCGCATTTTAACTTTATCCAATTAATCCCGATCAATCCTTTATCTGGCCAGTCTTTATATAATTCATTAATTGATTGGGTTTATATCTGGTATTTGACAGATTAATATATAGAATACATTCTGCTGCAAGTATTCTGCTACAATATGAACTGGTTGTTCTCCAACAAAAATATCATACATTCATTACAATAATATACGTACTGTCGCTATATAATGGTGAATCAAATTGGGCCCTAAGTAATCTCTTCGTAAACTTCTAATAAATTACAAATGATATCAACTTAATATTTGTTATGCTTGATCGACACAATTTGTATAAACAGTAGTGTCAAAACTCCTTCCAAAATGTATTATGATACAACGATGAAATAAAAAAGAACGCACATTTTGGAAAGGTTCCAAAGCAGACTTAGTTAGCATTCATGTGTAGCGTTTGAACTACCGAAGAGAACGCCATCTACAGGCCCGCAGAGGATACACTCACAATAGAGAGGTGTCGCACAACGGGTTATAGCTAAAACGTATATCCACGACAGCATCTCGTCAATTGAACTGCTATGCATGCATAAATCTGGTGAATCACGCGGATTTTAGATACGTTGAGCTAAAAAACTCTCTGATATCTCTAGACTAGTGCTTTTACTTTCTAAAATATTAATACATTTTGGCTTAACAGCCTTATGCAAAAGCATTTAAGGAAAGACCAGGCGCCATCATCTCGTGTACAATTTAATCCCCACTGGACACGGAGATGATAAAATATGTGCTAACGAAACATGATTGATATTGTAGGGTTGATTATCAAAGTGTGGCATAGCGCGTCACCTTATTTCTATTAGACAATCGGGTTTCGTCAATATAATACTAACATCTTCGAATTCCAAAGAAGCATGTTGTTCAAGGAAAACATCTACACAAGATGGCATTATTTTTGCTTCTTTATTCATCAAATTCAAATATAATCGATATATGAAATATTTATATTCGCTAAATCATTTTTCCATTCGGTAAAACGATTACAGGTTACAGCAAATTAAGTTTTCAAATTAAGTTTTCAAAATAGCCAATCACTTAATATTAGTGCATTAAATTACATATTTCATTCGCTAAATGATATGTTTTTGCGTAAATTGTTATGGTATTTCTTAAGTGTAAAACATTATATGCAAAATATTGAATTTCTATTTGAACCCTATCGAAATAAGTTTGCCTATATTTACCAAATGGTTTATTTTTCTATGGCATAGTTAATGGATTTTACCGAAAGCTAATTTGCTATTTACCGAATGCAGGTAAGTAAGTAATATTCGATAACTTTCGTTGTTGTTCGATATTTTGTCACGTGACCTCGCGATTTGCAAAATGGCCGCGAAGCTATTCCTACATCGTTCAAATATATCAGGTGACTGAGTCTCGTAAAGTATCGAAAAATAACGAAATTTATCGAATGTGGCATTTGGTATTTACCGAATATATATAATCTAAATACCGAATGTACAAATAATTAATTGAATTATACGTGCGTTGAGGAAAACGAATTGATTCGCTGCATCACACAAATACATGTATAAATATCAAATGTGAATGCAACAAAGAACAAGTGAAACCATTTAGCGAATATAAATTGTATAGATTATTACATTCGATAAAATAAAAAACATTTGATAGATTGGGTAAAGGTTTGGTAAATTGTTTGTTTTATTTGGTATTTATGGAATATTTAGTGTACCGAATAAAGAAACAGTTTAAACACCATAAACATCCTTGAAAAATTCAGATTGATCCATGAAATGGTTTGGATGAAAACGTGCGGACAAGACTTTGTACAGACATAATTTTGGGACGGAAGTCCAAAATGGCCGCCACAACATTTACCCAGAATGCACAAAAACTAATCAGTTCTAAACTTTCATACCAAGAAACACCCCTAGAAGTTTCAAATGAATCCAACAAACAATTTGACTGGAATAGTGTAGACAAGACTGGAAACAAGTTTCGGGACAAAAGGTTTAAAAAATTGCCACCTAGCAATTTACCAAGAATGCCCAACGACTATAAGCAAGAAACATCCCCAAAATTCTAGGTCAATTCATCAAATTATTTGGCTTGAAGACTTCAAAGAAAAGATTTTTAGGATTGTAAATCCAAAAATGGCGTACGATAAAAAGCAGATACAAATTTTAGCCGGTTTTTCACAAAATAATCTAGTAAAACTGTTTTTAACAGTGACATGGGGTTTTACAATGCAGGACAGATAAAGTCAAAAACCGAATTAGAAGTAGAAATAAGAAGAGTGTTAAGGAAGATGCTGGAGTTTGAAATCTAACTGTGAAGCCGTTTTTCAAGTTTGCAGACAAGGATTTTAGCATTTGACTTCAAAATGGCCGACAGGAAGAAGTAGCTATCGAGTCGATTTTTTTCTACCGCATCTGTATGTACCAATTATGATCTCCCCATGAAATTCAAAATGAGTATACTGCTTTTAAATACATTTATATGTACAGGGTGTCCAAAAAACAGGACCATAAGAAAGTTGAATAACTCGGTCAATTTTGCATATTCTGCCTTGAAATTTCAGGATTATTTCGTTCATTCAATGTGAATTTTGTTGTAAAAGTTTGATAATAATCTACCAATTGAGTCAAAAACTAAAGCTCCTAACAAAACATGCCCCAAATGTGCAAATCTCATCTCTATGCACAATTCAATCCGGCGAACAAACCTGTTGATGATCCTCCTACACACATGTCTTTCTGAATGGACAAGTTTGTTCCAAGAACAATTGCTACTGGGGCTTACATCCTACTGATGAAGTGTTACAGCATCCATTGCATTCTGAACAATGCATTTCCTGGGTGGCAATGAGGAAACATGGAATCATCAGTCCCTTTTTGTTCGAAGGTGACTGGGGACTTGCTATCACCATGAACAAGGACCAGTAAGTTCTCACCAAGTTTTGGAGGTCACTAAGCACCAGAAGGGACATCTAAGGAGATAATTAAGCAGTGGTTTGAACAAGCCAATAGCACCCCAACACTGCAAATGATATGCTGAAATGGTTTAGGCAATGCTTTGGTGGTCAGCTCATCAGTTGCAGTACGCAAACCATATGGGCAGCTCATTCGCCTGATCTAAATCCCCAAAATTTTTGTCTTTGAGGATTTCTCAAAGCCAATGTGTATACTGACAGGCCCCTAACAATCTTAAAGGCCCCATGTAAAGTTTAAACCACTTTGGCTTATATTGTAATCTAACCCAATGTTATCAAAATGTGATATGTGAAACTTTTTTTTTTAATTTCAAAAAGTGGTTTTTGATAGACTTTTTGTTCCAAAATTTGTGAATTTATTTAAAACCAACTTTTAGAGGTCACTCAAATCTTCTAATTAGCCACAATTCAAACCAATGCATAGCATACATCCTCCCATGTTTTTTGCAAAAAAAATTAAGAAAATCGGTTGATAAACAAGCGAGAAATGAACTTATCAGTGCATGAAAATGGTTCTGAGAAAAATGCATTTCAAAATTTTAGTTCTCATAGAAACCAATGGTACAATGATATCTAAAACATAATTTATTCTTCCTTTTAACCTGGTTAGACAATCAACATTGGTTTTTTATGAAAGTCTAGCATATTTAGAAAAGATTGACATCGAGAAAAAAAGTTTTTGTTACCTTAGTGACATCACTAATGTTTCAAAATATTTTTGATAAGCTAAAACATTGAAGTGGCCCATTAAATATGACATTTTATTATTGAAATAGTGTGTCTTTTGTTCAATCTTTGCATTGGTGTTAAAAATATAATCTTTTTTGAAATGCATTAAGAAATATTTGATGATTAAGAAATTTCAACTTTTTTTGAAAAATGGCGGGAAATTTGAATATTTGAGAAATGAAATGCTCACAACTTTTTTTTCAAAAAAATTTTTTTGCTCAAAAATCTCTAAAATCACTTTTTAAGTCCTGACAAATAGCAAATGAATGTTCAAAAAATATTTTCAAACTTTAGACGGGGACTTTAAAAGGGCAATAACTACCCCAATATTTACCATCCACATTAATGTGTATAGGTAAGGGTCATTAACAACTTTGTTCGAAGGATTCGTTTGTGCATAGAGAGGAGAAGTGCCCACTTTGAGCATGTTTTGTAAAGGACTGTAGTTTTTGACACAATAAACAGATTATCATCAAACTTTCAGAACAAAATTCACATTGAATGAACTAAATATTTCATAAATTTCAAGGCAAAATATGCAAAATTGACTGAGTTATTCAACTTTCTTACGGTCCTGTTTTTTTTGGACACCCTGTACATTAGTACATAAATTTCAAGGCAAAATATGCAAAATTGACTGAGTTATTCAACTTTCTTACGGTCCTGTTTTTCCTGTAGTCAATGTTGACCTATATTCAGCACTGCATTGATGCTTTGGCCACTTATTAGGGTCACAATTCAATCTTGAAGTGTAGAGGCATAGATTCCAAACCAGGAAGTATTTTTGTGTCTATCAAAATCCATTTGCAACCTACGTATCCCTACATCTTATCCAAATATGTTACTTAATAATAAAATATAATTGTATAATCTTTGGTTTTACAAACTTGTATGATATTTGATAAGGGTAAAAGTTGTTTTTGGAGCATTTTTCTAAAGCCATTTTGTAGGGAAAAATGATGAAAAAATGTACAATCTTTTGATTTACCTGAATCGATTGCAAACTTCATATTTGCACATTTGACAAGATAAACCATTTGTGTCATATTGTGAAAATATTACGTTTGCAATTGATTCAGGTCATAGTGTATTTTCGGTATTTTTGTGATAATCAATTGAAACCAATGGCCTCTATTGGAATATACTGATCATGATATACTCATGGTAAGTCAATGATGCACAGCCCCATAATATAAGTCAATACAACCTTACTGAACTAAATGTCCCCTATCTCAGCATATGTGTGCCTAATCACTTTAATATTTTCCAAATAATTATACATATTCTTCATGTTACCCCTAATAATGATTCATTTTGACCATAGGGGTATTTGCCAATTATCGCACCTCTTCCTTTGATTGTGATATCTGTAGCAGTTTTGGAAAAAAATGTAGGACGTACGAACAGACAGAGTGACTAACAGACGCGTCAAGGCCGACAATATGACCCCACACTACGTGTATGTGTGTTATTGCAAGTGATACATCACACTACCCTACCTCGATAGCGCATGCGCGAATTTTTTGGCTTTCAATCAGGTCGCTTTTGAGTATATCGACTGCTTAGTGAAAAGGTTAATACGTTTGGTGCTCGGAGTGAGTCAATATTGCTATTCGCTGAACTTCAGTGGTGCAATAGTGAAGTCCATGTTCCAAGTTATATGATAGTTGAAGAAAGAATGTAAATAATATCGTTTTAAATTTTAAAATATTTGATACGTCATAGTACATGGTACACAGCTGCAAAAGTTGATCAATACAGGGTACGAGGAATGTAAATTGTTCAATAGTACAGGGAGCGAGAAAGTAAGCTGATTATACAGACATACTATGTCCCGATCTCATGTATATTTACGTTGCAAACAGTGAAAATAATGCTAAAAAGGCCGCCTGTTGATGCTTTGAGGTGTCATCAATTGTTATTTAATCCAAATAAAGTAAACATTATTTAGTAGATTTAGACACGGGCTTTTAGGTCGTATATGCATTAGTCATTAAATTAACAAGAACGCTAGATTATACGTGTTAATAGGGTATCAAATTGAAATAAAATAACGAAATTAAATATGAACACGTAAGTGATAAATGACTATCGGCTATCAGGATTAATGACTATCCGCTATTCAGAATAATTAAAATTGCGTGAACTACATGTAAAGAATCTTTCTATATAACCCCTTGAATGGTCTAATTCACTACCGTCCTCAAAAACCGATAATTTAAAATAGTTTGTTCAAAATACCATCATGTCACCACATTTTGTTCTTCACGATTTGCTGTAGAGGTGATATGACGTCGTATTTCTCTATTATTGTAAAAAAAACTAATACCAGATCGATGTAGTCTTATATGACGTGTTGAATGTCAGATGTTTTTGGATGGTATCTGCTCCAGTGATTTTGCATTTAATCATGAAACGCTCATCACAAGACACCTCGAAACAAACATTATCCTCCTTGAGGAAAAATGTTTCACAATATGTTATGCCTTACGGCAAAATAAAGATACATTTCTGGGACGACTTTTTTGCATCTTAAGATTTTAGAAAAACAATTAATTCACAAAAGTACAGTTGAATAACATACTGGAAAACGTATCCACATATAACACGATGACACGCAGTTTAAATAATAGTTTACTGGGGTTTTGTTACATATCAATGTAACATTTTCGAAGGGAAACTTACATGCTCCCTGTACGTTGACAGATTTACTGAAATGTATCGTGTATTGCATTGAGTTTTGCTTCGCTGCGCCCACTATTATCTATCTTTGCCTATAGTGGTTTTTTGCCAACAATATTCTACAAACTGCTTGATGAATCAATTCTATGTCTGGTAGAACACTAGAAATAAATGTAAAATTATTTTACGTTCAGAAATATGGAATTAAACCCACGTCCTCAATTTGCAACTTAGCTGTACCCTGTTTCCCTTTTAAACGTGGTCACGTGGTAGGGTAGTGTGTACATATAGAAGCGAAATATACGCCATGGCTCATGTAAAAGTGTAATATATATGAAATATTTTCCAATTTACCATTCCTCATTTCAATGCCCTATCAAATCTTAATGAATGGAGATTTTTTAAATATTGTTTTTCATTTACTGATCAGGAAGAATAAATCAAACGTATTTGTAATTAACAATATATTTTTTAAATATTGGAGAATATTCCGGTAAAGAGCGTATTCTTCCTTTGATTTTTTTCTAACTGGACTTTTTAGAACAATCATTCTTGCATACTTTAATTTCAAACAACTGAAAATTTTCCAATTCTTTAAGTATAGACAATATACTGATTTTTGTGTAGTGCCCAACATTCCAGATACATGAGTTATGGTGTATTTATCTAAAATAGTAAACCAATCGATTCGAACACTTATTTCACGTCTATCAATCAATTACAACTTATAAATATGTGATATTGACTTTCAGATTCGTTCTGCTGAGTATAAGTTTTTGAATTTTATTTCGCCTCATCTGGTATCGGGTTATCTCTCAACGGAAATGAGCTTCAAGACATGCATTTCTTTTTCACTCTGAAAAAATATTGTCAAATAAGTTATCAAAGTCAGGTGCCGATCTGTGTCGATATCATCAAATGTATATTGGACGCTTGGTATGCATATAGTAGACAGAGTGACATCTTTTCATGATCAGCAAACAATATTAAATCCAATATTTTCATTGAAAAAGTGTCAATACGACGGATTCATTTTTGCGGTTTTGAAATATTGATCATGAGTATATATGGTCAGGGACATATAAAACATATTTTAGTAGGCAAGCGTATGTCTCTGATATGGTGTGTCGTTGGTTCATTTTAGGGATAATGATGAGACTGGCCATGGTGGACAGAGAGATAATCTAATTGGACGTGCTCTCTGGCGTCTGCGATCTCAAGTCAATAAAAACGAATTAAAAATATCAACAGAAAATCAGAGTGGGCCACTCATTATGGAACCATTTTCCTAACAAATAAGAGATACATTTACAAAAATTCATAGCTTTACTATACTCATTCTATTTTATTATATTTTCCATGTTCCTGTATAGGCCTACTAAGTGTGTTAATTGTGAATGTATGTTCATTGTAAATGAAAAATAATGATAATAAATATACAGGGTGTCAATTTGAGCTGTGACTCCCTCCACAGATAATACCGTGGGAAGCAGTGTGAATGATAACAACAGATCTTGGAATATGAAATTTTTTGTCTATATTGACATTTAGTAATTTGACCAATTAAGCTTCTTAGCAACCCATTTCTTATTTATAAAATCTGCACCATCATCCATTGCACCACAGTATGCAGTGCATCTCATTATGTCAATAAATTGTGTCTGATCATCATCATACAGTTCCTGTGCCATGTTGACTTTTTAATTTTAAATGGCATATTAGGGGTATATAAGTGACATATGGGAGGCATACTAGAAACAATGTTGTAATTTGTAGCAGTACTTAATCAATGTCAAGTGGAAGTCATTTGATTCAGAACTAAATTAGCTTTAATTTGATATAGAGTTAGTGAGGGTACCTTCTCCGGTATTGGCTGATGAGAGGGGGGAGGTCACAGCACTAATTGACACCCTGTATAAATAAAGATATACATCGAACATGCTGTCCCATATTTGTTGACCATGACTTTAACAGTGTAGACGGCTGATTGTGGTAGATTAAATATATCCTCACCGATGACCCTTAAACTGTCTTCCTAAGAGAAAAAGCTCAGCAGAGTCACCCCTACTGGCAGGAGGCTTGACTTTATGTAACGTAACAAAATGTTTTCTGATTTCTTCTTCCAATAATGACTGTTCTGCGCCCATCCATATTTTACAGAGAAACGTTCCTCCGGGCTTTAAGACCTTTGTAGAAAATGTCAAAGCTGCACGACAGAGCTCTATGATACATTCATGGTCCAACGACTTAATCCCCGTTGCTTTTGGTGCCATGTCACTTATAACTGAACCCACTAGGTTTCCTCCAAGTAAATCTAAAATTTTCTTTTGTGTTTTTGGTGTTGTAAAGTCTGATTGGGATAAAACAGTGGCGCCCTCTATTGGACCCATGCGTTGTATATCTACAGCTATAACCTTGCCAGTTGAGCAATCCTCTCCTGAAAAAATAAGAAAGGATAATCACGGGGTGTCATCGAAAGATTTGTCCATCTTGGGGGAGCACGCTATGTTTCATAAAAATTTCACAAAAATTATTTTTAACGGCCGTTGCGTTCTCATCTAAGATGGAGAACGGAGAGTGTCGATTTCGATATTTTTGGCTTTCGTGGAACTGAACTACTTTATGACGTAATGCTCAGATATTTGAACTTGATAAGCCTTGCATATTATGGAAATTTCGGAGTTTTTGTTCGTAGATCATACGTAGACGCCACAATTTAATGTTACACCGCTATAGGTAAGGTAACTGGAAATGCATGATACGATAACTGACACGTCTGATTCCAAGATGATGTGGTTATTGTATGGAGTTAATAACTTCAGACCAAAATGATGCACTTCGCTATAAAATGCAGTTTTTGTACATTACGGTTGGAAAGGGTAGCATTTATCTTGGACCATATGATACGATGTCATGCAATAGACGTCCCAAATACTAACTTTTCTTTTATCAAAAACAGGAGCTATATGTCGGGATAGGTGTCGATGTCGATTAATTAATTGAAATTGGGAATCAAAATGTGAGTCCCCACTTGTTATATATATACCTTTGCTATGTGAACTGGCCCTCCATTATAAACACTCATAACGATACCGCATCACCACAGATCAGTTAAATCGTATCATTTGCAAAATCAGAATCTCAGTTACCTTCCCTTAAGCGGTGTAACATATAGTTGAATCATGGCGCCCCCGTATGATTTAAGAACAAATTGTCATACTCCAAAGTTTCCATGATATATAAGGCTTATCAAGTTCAAATATCAAAGCATTACCGTTACCGCATCTTGATACTGACCAGTGATAATGACACATTAATGAATACAACACGCTGAAAGCGGGAGTCAAAAGTGAAATCATTTTACATCATCGGTAGGTTTGTCTCGTCAAAAAAGCCATAATCCTGCAAATAAGGATGATTGTGACGACCAAATATAAGTTCACAAATTACGTTCCCAATGATCAATCGTGCCAATATTTAGCCCATACACGAAAGTACAGAAATTCAAGAAGCCTAATAATGAAATACATTTTTAGGATTGGCTGTGGAGGGGAACGGTCATTGTGAAACACCCTGTAGAATATCCTGTTACAGCGAAACTGTCAAAATGAATGCAGCAGACAGTGGAATTCTTCTTGACCGAATAATGTTGATGGATTTCTCGAAAATAATGAGAAAGAGAAAAAAACCTTGATACGAATATGCTGAAAACCTCACTTGTTAAAAGGATAAATTACTATGCCAAGTATAGTTTTAGGGAGATAAGTTGGTAAGATATATCCCATATCCTGATTTTGAGGTTTCCATATCCAGAACCTCCATATCTCCCGCCATATCTCCCGCTTCGGTGCATATCTTCCCGCTTCGGTGCATATCTTCTCGCTTCCGGTAAGTAGTGGAAATGCAATAAAATGACTTTGCATATGAATGATTTGTTTATTTTTACACCTTGTACTATCGAAATGGTCATATGTACCCCTGAAAACTCTACTTGATATAGGATAAAGCAGTTATGTACGGTCGGTTTGGATATTGGGTTCATCCCTCGTGAGATATGCACATCTACCTTCGGTCCCTACGGTCCCTCAGGTAGATATGCACATCTCCCTCTGGATAAACCCCATATCCAAAACCTCCCAGTACATAACCCTTATTTATTTACTCTTCATCGTTTAGTCTCTCCGACACCCCTGGCCTATGGGTCAATATGCAAGTATATTACATATATTTTGTGCAGTAAAATGTGTGTATGGCCTTAACGATGACTGTTACCAGTTACATGACATATGAGAACACAGAAAGGGGAAGTTTTCAATTTAATACATACATTTTGTGGTTTTATTATTCACTTTTGTTAATAGATGTCGCCAGTGTTTAATCTAAAGCAGATTGGTTTTCGAAATATCGATGCTGTCTTCCGACAGATTACCTGTTTGTGCAGAGATTGTTCTCTCCACAGCTACTTGAGTCCACGAGCCGGGAGCAGCACCACAGTCAACCAAGATATCACCTGTCTTCAGGACGCCGAACCGATCGTCAATCTCCAACAATTTGAAGGCACTTCGACACCTGTAACTTTCCTGTCTAGCACGTTTTGCGTAAGGATCGTTTATCTGACGGGTGAGCCATTCTTGGGAGCTTAACTTTTTGCCCTTAATCTTCTTTAGTGTTTGTTTTCTCAAGGCAGTATACACAGAAAACCTAACAGCTCCTTGTAATTGTGATATTTTAGAAAAGGCACACCCGGAAATATATGTTTTTCCACATGCCGCCATCTTGAGATTCCCCAATGACGTCATTTTAAGTTCAAGGATATCCTTCACATTCCCTTTCTGGCGCCAAATTTGAATGCAAATACTAGAATATTGCCTGTAAATGAATATTGAATTCAACAATAAAAGGTTATTACGTACTTCATTTCTTCTTTTGGTTCACTTTATTTACATGACCGCCATCGGATCTATTTATTACGGCGTCACCAGTTCTGTGAATTTTAGTGGAAACTCTTCTATTTAACAATTTGTCGAGTCCTAGGACCATTTCAAAGAGGATCGAAATGCCCCCTCACCAATGTACTGTTAGTTGAGTCCTTGCCAAATGAATAAAGTCCCCCTTCTCCGTTAGTTCACATACATAACAGGCCCGAAGCCAGGGGTCAGGGGGGGGGGGGGTCCCTGGCTAAAAAAAAGCTTTCAAAATCATGCAGTTTTTCACCGTTCTGAGCGATTTTCAAATTGTCTGTAGTGAACTCCCCTGGAATTTCAAAAAGTGACCCTCCTTAGAAAATCCTGGCTTCGGGCCTGCATTATAACACCTCTTCTTGAGCTAGGGATTATCGGTTTTTGCTCAATCAGGGCCAGTATGGGCCATCTTGAAGGCACAGGGGACCATAATTCGTTCATGGGGCTATTCCTTCTTAGTCGGTCCCATATTTAATAAGGACCTTTTCGACACTGGGTGTCAAAAACTAAATGCTAGCCTGATTCCTGGCTCCATTTTATTTTTGAAACTATTATTGGAACTTGCAATTTTAAGATCTTATCTTTCATATTAAAATATGCGAACATTTCAAAGTGTAACTACCCTTTTGGTTTACAGACTCTAATTCACATATATTTTCCTTTCGATTTTGATGTGCAAACAATGTTATGTATAACTTCTCAAAGCTATATGAAAAATAAAAAAAACATAACATTTTGCAGCATATATGTGCAACAAAAGCTCAGAATTCTACTTTTTGGATAAAAATTAAATTCTGATATCTAGAAAAAAATACAAAATAATTTTATCAAAAGAACGGATGTTTGGGACTAATGGACGACTATTTATACTAAAGCAAACAAACAGATTCTTAAGTTCTTCACATCACATCCAATATTAAAAATGATATATTAGAAAATCGATTCCATATAATTATGAAAAAGAAGTGATAAAATGTCACATATGAAAAACACCTTCACCATCTGTTTCATGTTAATAGCGTTTGGACGTAAATGAAAATGGGCCTAGATAAATGTTCACCAGTTTATCATTTTTGGTTTAATAGCCAAGCATCTTATGTACTCATGTTTAAAAAAGTCACGGAATCTTTTGACAGTTTCTACAATAGTTGTCATCAGTTTGACAAATTTTACTATGCTAAATGAAAGAAACTTTTAAATACACAATAAAACTATTCAAACTACTATCCCCTTTCAACGTAAATTGTATGAAAGAGGCAAGAGTATCGAACTGTTAAAAAGTTTATGAAGTTTTCTTGTGAATGGTGTGATGGGCCTTGTTTGTCTAAAGAATTGTCTGCTTTGGTTGGATCCGCACTATGTGGAATCTAACGTTTTTCATGTAGCCGCCGATTTTCTCGTCTCAATCAGCTCACAATGGGCCAGTCCCTTTGCCATTCTCTGATACTAATCCCTATAGCTACACGCTGTTTACTCTGGCACAAATTTATACCAAACCATCAGTATGTTAACCATTTTGCAATTGTACTGGATTGTGAAAGGAAATTAATAGATCGGTATATATATTGTTGTTTATTTTATCGGGGGTTGTTTTTATTGGCGCGTTGCTCCAGCGAGTGATCAAAAGTTCAAAGAATTAGTTGGAGTTAGTGGGAGCTTCGATTACACAGTTTTCTTTTTAACATAGCCTGATTCAGACTCACTTAATACATTCAGAAGAAAGGGTGAAAACTTGGAATCTATTCTCGAAGAAATATCTGTCTAGTAATGTAAGACAGTCAATACATATAGGACAGACATACGTATTGAAATCTACCTACAGTGTAGTCTCGAAATTGGTAAGTAGAAGGAGGTTAAAATTTCATATCTCCGACCGTTGATACTACATACATTTTCTTCACTTTCGGTCTGTGAATATTATCAAATCTAGTTGATACGATTAATGGTTATAGCCAAATACAATTTGGTTATTAGAGAAGGGATTATACATCAGCGGTTGATTAATCCCCCAGCGGGTTTCATTAGTCTCATTGCTCGATTCATTAGTCTGCTTAACACTTTATTTAGTCAATCATATATATATATTGCTCATTGAATCGGAGTCCTGGTCTTTCTCATCTCTCACAATAGATGCCTATTGTAGAATCATTTATTGCCAAACAGATCTTAGGTTTCTAAACTTGGAGTGAGGTTTCTTAACCAGTTGAGAAAAAACAATTTGAGATGTGAGAACCACTGCAAGTGTGATATTTTTGTAATAACTTCATTCGATTCTGATTTGCGTCTGTAGGTTCAGGAGATTGCCGGCTGTGAAGTGTGGTGATTCCCGGGGAGCGCAATCACGAGTTGATTGACAGCACTGTACTGTGTGGGGCCACTGGTTCGCTATCTGACACGCATTCCAATTCACACTTTCGGATACTCAGCAGCCAGAGAGCTTAGGCGATAGATAGAAGCCACTCCAATATGAACTAGAGATCGAGAGGATAGGCGTTGGTAGCTAAGAACTATATCCTTTATTCTGGACGGTATTACATCGCGGATCGACAATGGCTTACAATATATTGATGTTATTTAGTATTCTGGCAGTTTGGATGTTACATTTTCCACGATTTTCATATGCCATATCAGTTGGCAATTCTTGGGGTTCTATTGACGCAGGACCTCTACTTAGTACAGGACGGTATCTCCACCCGCCAAAATGTATGGATATACCCTCGAACTTAACTCTTTGCAAAGACAAATTGGGATACAATAAGATGATCTTGCCGAATCTTCTCGACCATGATACAATATCGGAAGTAACTCAACAGGCCAAGTCGTGGGTGCCTCTGCTTGGACTACGCTGTCACCCGGACACTAAAATATTCCTCTGCTCGCTTTTCTCCCCCATGTGTTTAGACCGCCTCATCTGGCCATGCCGCTCTCTCTGCGAGGCCGTGAAGAGCGGATGCGAGTTACGGATGGCTCAATATGGGTTCCCATGGCCTGAGATGGTGCGTTGTGACAAGTTCCCTGAAGACAACGACCTTTGTATTCCAGTGAATTCCACTTCCTCTGGGAACGCAGGTGAGATAGTATACGTGTTGTTACACCAAACATAACATTTGCATAGGGAGTGATATCAAATACGTCTGTAATGAAGTACGGGAAATCATTCATTGTTATCTTGGTGTGTGTTGTACAAGATATAACGAGGAATTGTAGATATGGGAGACATACATAAATGTGTTAACATTGAGGTACCCTAGATTCACAAAATCTCAACTGAACGATATACAAACATTTGTATTTGAGAATTTTAATTTATTTAGGGGGAGGCACTCGAAATCAGCGCAACTTGAAATTGCTCAAAACCTTTTTTACCATCAGTCATGCAAAGTTAGATCAATGGCACCAAATCAATATGCCACATTTAAAATCTCAAAAACATGTTTTCTAGAAAATGTATTTACGGTATATATAATACATATCAGAGTAGGTGAAATATTAAGGGCAGAATCGGTGGTTAGGGGGTGTTCAGTCACAACCGACCGTCTCTCTTTACCTCCAACTAAATCTAAGGCCAGACAGGCTCAGTAATCCTCACCTTAAACATTTGCAAGTTTTTGTGGCTGGTTAGTCTAGCATGCTGTTGACCTGAGATCGAAGAGGCCAGAGAGCACGGCCCACTAGATTATGCCACTGTCCAGTCTCTGCATTAACCCCCAAATGAACCCACAAATACACCATACTCAACATGTCAAAACGTCAAAAATAAATCCGTCGTATTGACACATTTTCTCATTTGTACCTTAAACATGGTGTTTATATCAAAACATGGGATATTGGTTTTGGCAAGATGATGCAGCGAGAACTGTTTGGATGTGGAGAAACGCGGAGATGAGCAATCAACTTCAAATATTCACTTTGATCTTAATCAAATATTTAGACTCATATATCTCAGCTGGGTAATGCTTCTCATCAACTCATAAGCTGTTTCAATTTAGCGCATATTTCTGGTCTTAATTTTAGCATCTGATGAATCATTTTTGGCAAATTAATTTCGAAAGATTTTCAAGAAGGTTAGATAATTTGTAATTCAATACAGCGGATTTGACGATAAAAATTCCAAGTTTTATCACTTTACTTCTTTTTAATCGTTTTTTACTTCCTCTCGTGTCCCCCTAGGCACCATAGACCATGGACAGTGATTCCATATCAGTAACCATAGTAACGTGTCAAAATATCTCGTCTTGGTTTTTCTGGTTGTTAACTAAACGTTGGCATTCTTAATGTTACCTCCAGCATCTAGTAAACCCAGACAAAATATCGAGATCACTTTGATTTTGAAAGCAATGTGTTATGACATCATAAATATCGCCATTGCATTCACCTTGCAAGTTACGGAAGAACCAATACGTGCCCATCATATATGGATATTTAGATAATACTTCTGTTGAAATCCTATATATGAGAGTATATTGTTGTTGTTTGAAAGGTAACTTTAATTTTGTTTTAATGCGTATGAGGCTTGTGCTGTTAAGGTAGCTGTCATCGTTAGAGTAACGTGATCGATGACCCGTGTAGCCTTGCCGCAATCCGATATATAGCGCCCCAAAACCCTTAGATTCTCAACTACTCACAGAAATGTAAAATTAGTCTCTCCCTGATAATGTAAATGTAAACTCAGCTTTAATTTTAAGGTAACTTTAAAAACTGGTCGTTGGTCCAGCACTATCATCTTGCTTTCAAACCTATGAATGACAGCAGGGGGTGGGGGGGGGGCGAAGAGGCTTTACATGTCAACTCATGTGATATATTATATAGAAGTTGTATATCAACCAAATTAAACATTGATTGTTGCCAAAATTGATATGCCTTGTTAACATTTCCTACTTCATAAAATTGACCAGACTGATATGATAAACTTTACTTGTCAAAAATAAGCCTATCAACGAGCAAACAAAACAAAGGGACGAACCATTCGATCTGCGTGTATGTGGGGAGGAAGGGGCTAATTTTGATGCTCATCAGATCCTTCAGTAGTAAGACTTACGAGAAGGAAAGAGATACTACGGCTTATCTCGATGACATAAATAAAGAAGGAAAATATATACTGGGTTTATGTTAAAAGAAAGTACTTGTAATCCTTGTTTTCTAAATATATACCTGTGTGTTTGTTTAGTGAGACTATTTTGAGAATTTTCTGGGGCCTCAATTGTTCAAAAAATGTTATGATGAAATTGCTTAGTACTAAAATCCACTTTCGAATCATGGTACTTTGAGATGTCAAGTTACATTAGTGATACAGATATATGAGTACACTTCGCGTCATTGGCCCAAGAGATTTGGACTGTCACCAAATACCCTCTTTGCGTAAAATGCGTAGAAACATTTCATAAGAAAAGAAAAATAAACAAAACACGGAAATGATGAATCTTAAGAGATTTTATCAAATTGAAACAGTTCATCTTGGTTCACTTTTACCACAATTATTAATAGAATATAATTTACCTATAGAACCTATTCTAACACGAGTTGGTTAAAGAAAACACTCCATTAAAATCCCACCCATAAGAAAAATGCAATCTGATTGGTGTTTTGAATCGCCGGATGTAAGATCATCCGGCGGCGGGGTAAGATACCTATACATTGACCACATAGGTAAACACCTTTAGATTCCAAAATGTTACAACCTTTCGAATAATTGTCACCTTTAAATCAATTCATATACTTTGTATGGATTGAAAGTTCGTGCTTTTAAATTTTGGAGCCTCTGATTTTAAAGGGCGGATTCTAAGCACAGGTCTCGTGAATTCAGCTCTGTAGAAATAGCTTACTAGGTCATCAAACATGCAGTCAGACTTATGGACGAGTTAAGTAAATTGTCACAAGTTTACAACATTCCTTGCTTTCAACAATGCCTATCGTGTCTATTTTCTTAAAACGCCCAACGATTCTTACTTTATTTTATATTAATTGCATTAATTACTTAACTTTTAATTTAAAGATATTTGAAATCGATTTTGAAAAAGTGGTCACCAATTTTATTATCAACACTCTCTAATCTTGTACCCTTTGCATTCGTTCGACTTCGTTTTTTACAAGAGAGCTTCGTTTATAACTATACTCCGGGCACATTATAACTATACTCCGGGCACAGGGTATATTCTTTGTTACCACTTTAAATGTTTAAAACACAAAATATCACTTATATTTTCAGATGACAACACATGTCGGGCTTGCAAGAAACCGGACACCTTCGAGGGAATCGTTGATGGCTTCTGCAACTCAGACTTTGGTTAGTATTTTAATTCTACGACTGTCAGATTCTTATATACGTGTGTATGCTTATTCTTTCTCTGTTTTCGCAATGATTTAAGGTCATAACGACCGAACTCTCTCCAATTCCACACTTATTATTGTATTGGGCGTGTGGTTAACTACCACGAATAGATTATAATTTTCTTGTCATGTTCCCCAAACCACTATTATTCATGCGATTGTCTATTCTATGTTACAATTAATTAGAAAATTTAATAGACCACCATCAGTTTGATAAATTGAGTAGCTCTGTAATTATAATTCTGTATGCGTTGATAAATCACTGAATAGATACTCGGAAATAATCAGAGAGAATCTAATTAGTTTTAGGGACACTTTTTGAAATTTTGTTATTATAGCGAAAAACGCTTTGGGCCGATAGTTTGAGGTTAGGGTTTAGTTTATTTTATCAGTCGGCGAACAATGATTTGATACATTTCTGTAGTTTGGGGTTTCATCATTTATTCGATACTTATTGTACTCTAGCCATTCCGGTTTATCCCATTTTAAGGTTGACCAAGTAGGAGCTATTACATTTAAATTTGGAAAGTGACGTCATGCGCAAACATGTTGCACTATGATGCCCACCTTAATCAAAATTAAACCAGGTCTCCGTGACTTTAATCAGTTTATTACATTATTACATAAAGGTTCACCAGTGAGTCCGGTTTATGGTTAAAAAGTACGAACTAAATGTTCGACAGAGTGTGATTAAGAGAATAATAGTACAATGTAAGTGCGGAGTAATCCTGGGCCATGATTCATGGACGAATTGCACCGAAGAACTCCGATATACGTCTGCTATAGAATTTATCAAATTGCCCAGAACGCCATCCATAAATAACACTGTGGTAGCGTTTAAAATACAACATAGACTCACAAAGACTGGAATTTGTAATAAACAACACAAACAGACATAAAACAAACACCAACGTGTAAAAAATGCAAGAACATTAATGAGTTCTTGGATTTTTTTGAGAAATCGACAGGCAACCGGGGAAATGTTTTCAGTTAGGGACCATAAAATAAGAAATACACCTCCATTCATAGAACAGGAACCATTGGACCACTGGTAGAGGAATTCAAAAGATTCTAGATTGTTTCTTATCTTTACAATTGGGAAAACAAACGAGATATTTGTGTAACATGAGAGATTGGAGAATTAAAATGTTTTCTGTAGCCCAGTTGGGAAAATAAACTTCAGAGATGGGATCAAATAGGTATGGGAATTGTCGAGGTTTGGTCACATTGAGAAATAATCCAATTCCAAATTGATGTCGAGATTTGAATTTATGGGGACTTAAAGTAATAAATGTGATACTAAATGGTCTCCGATAAGTTCATAGACCCAATCTTTAGATTATACCGATTTCTCATTGATTTTAGACTCGATATAATCTAGGGACTTGGGTATAAGTTAAGTACTATATATTCCAATGCTCTACGCAAGAATACCACTTGCATCCTAACTGAAGATATCTTCATTAAAAATACCCTGGACCATAGACAGTAGAACTTAATCCTAAATCTACAGGTTTCTATTTGATTCATCAAATGTTTTACTCGTTGTACATGTGTTGGATGTGAAACTAAACCAGATAAGATTTTTACATAGTTTAGTCTTTAGAGAATTATATTGCAAAAATAAGATATTAATGTATATTAATACGTTTTGAAGCTCGTAGCCAATGTCATGTCGTTCGAGGCTTGGCATTGGATTGGTCTGGTCTGTTATTCAATGTACTTTTGCGATTTATCACTAATCAATGGATAATTCCGAATTCATGGCTTCTTCCATTAGTTTCAAAGTGTGCCCGGGTAAAAATTGTGATACTTTTATCGCGATCCATTTATTTCAACTTAAGATTGTGATACAAAGATAAGGATAAGTATTTGACTATTTCAGTTTAAGGCACGTCATCAAGAATTGGCCAAAACCGAGGCAGAGAAAGACACGATTCCTTTATGTTTCTTGAAGCTAGAAATGAAACTGGAAAAGCAAGCCATATTAGTGACTTACACGCTTATGCAAACCGGTAGTCTTATCGCAAATAATTGGGAACATCCCACCAAAACTGCAGAATCCAACTGCGAATTAACAGCCCGCTAATTGCTATCTATACACGGCGTTGTTTGTCTACAAACATATCTAAACGTTCTGCTAATTGATGGGTAAATTAGGACCTTGGTTTCTAAACAACTGGAGTAACTAACCAGTGGAATTACTTTGAGAAGGGAGAGCTATTGCTTGCCTCAGACATAGTGTGAGATAACTTATAGGCCTACAGTATAATATTCGATTTTATTACCCTCTTGGATGTAGAATATGAGAGACGCAGCAATCTAATTGGTTCACTGACAATAGTATTTTCATATTATTTTCCTCGTCCAAGGGAATATGTTTTGAGAAAAAAGCTTTATAGTATTAAAATAATATAGGCAATGTTAGGGTATAATTATACTAGCGAGCATGCATACCGCATATTTCGTTTGAATCCTGTTCAGGAATATTAAAATCGTAACATAATAGAAACACAAACATTCGAAAAATGCTGAATACATTTACGTGTCAAAGTAGTTTTAGTCCAACTGTGAAAAATATCCTGTCTTTGAAATATCCAACCTGTGATAACCCGTTTTTGCAAACAAAAGTAGTTTTGTGTTACTTGCTTTTAATCATTTTTGGCATTGCGTGCCTTCCCGGGCTTTTAACAACAAATAACAGTTTGTGACAGCAGCAATGTGGAAAATTGGCCTCAATATTCACAGGAATGCGATTTTCGGTTAATTTCTTGTGTCAGATAGGACAGTCTCTTGAGAGGTTAGACATAGATGCACATTATGACCGTAACAGCAGTTATGCGGGCCATATAAGAACGGCCGAATGGTTTGACCTGTCTGCATTTTCATTACATATAGTTCTATAAATAAAATTTATTATATAATTCAAGTTTGTTTCATTAGGTAGGTTCAATAAAACTACCAATCAATGAGTCAATCAATGAATCAATCAATTAACTAATCTCTCGTCCGGTATTATTGTCTAAGCCTATAACTGACGTTGCGGACGGGGTTGGTCCATGTGTATTAATGAGCCACTCAGATGGCCTCATAACGTGAAGTATGTTCGCCACTCTACACTCAATAACCATCCTACGATTATCTCACGTACTTACCCCAAATAGCTAAGATTCACAAGTGACCCAGTTTGCAGTTCACATCCCACACAATTCTTTCAGATTCCCAAGAGAATCTGCCAGATTCATAGTACCCCGCTACTATGCAGATCTGCCAGATCGCGTGAAACACACGGTACATGTCCGTGTCTCAGTATGTCAGTCTCAGCTTGCCATAGGGAGATGTCCGGGGTAAACCATAATATATGGGAACACTCCAATACCAATAGTATACTGTTCGAATCGTACACGATAGGCGAAAGCGACAATGATAAGTTATTTTGTGTAACATTTCTCAAACGTTGCGCGTTGTGCGTTCTGACCTTAATTAAACTGTAAATTGAACAATGTTTGCGGTAGTTTGGTTCTTTTTGGTGGCATTTTTGATAATGATTGTTAAAACCTGAAAATATAATTGCAATATGTTCTAGTAACAGAGTCCCAAACATCCTAGAGTCTTCGTAAACATCTAGGCATCCCACTGTTTGCCATTGCACAAGATTCAATATTTTTGTTTGCCACAATTTTATCTCGTATGCTAGGTGTTTCGTCTTAAGTAAAGCACTCACACCTGCGTCTGGTTAAGTCTAATCTTACATTTGAGATTCTTCATTTGTATAGGAATTAGAACCGTCAATTCCAATTGCTACCAGGTTATGCTTTAATTTTCTTACATGTAACTTATCTCTCTTCCTTTTTGTAGTTGAGATAAAAGCAAAAAGAATATTTCACTTCAACAACCTACAATGTCACTGTGGCTTTTAGGTGGTTTTCTGAACTAAAATTGAAGCTATAGTTTCAAAGAGATTCAAAGCAATTAAATTTTCATTGACCTTGATCTACATGTATAAACGCCATGTATATACTTTAATGTTAAATGTATACGTAACTTCATTATAAAATTTCACGAGTTATTTCTGTATAGTGGAGTCTAGAGTCAATTTCATTGTTTTATTGCGTCAGTAGAACCCCAAAAATAAGAAATTGGGAGACCATTGTGCAATAATATATGGAAAAGTACATTCATAATGTACATGAATGACATTTGTATATTTCAGATTTTTTAGTTTTTGTGCAATAAGCCTGTGCCCTCTTTTAATTTGAAGAATTTCGGCCATGTTAATCTTATTGAAAATAACATGGCAGAGAAGCATCCAAATATAAGAGGCCATACACTTTATGAGCCAAACTAGAAGCAATCCAAGATATACACATGTCATTCATATACAATAGGAATACATTTTCCCTTATATTATTGCAAAATGATATTTTGATTTCTTATTTTTTAGCTTTTACTGACGCAATTAAACAGTGAAATGGACTCTAGTTCCAAAGATATTTGCGATTGAATTTTTGAAAATCCCTATTGGTTGCCATTATAAACCGCTATCAATATGGTTTTACTATAATAGAGTGTCTTCTCAAAGAATCCACTATGGAATTTTCTAATAGTGTAGAGAGTGTCTTCTCAAAGAATCCACTATGTAATTTTCTAATATTGTAGATATCTATAGTTAATATATATATATTTTTTTAAATCAAACAGCTACTTTTCTGAAAATTTCTTATTTTTAAAATATTTAGTCATTAAGTTAAAGATTGATTTAACATGGCGCATAATATAGGTTTTTATAGTTAACAATTAAAAGTAAAACAATTCAGAAATCTGCCTGCTTTTTAAAAAAAATCAATAGGAATGTACAATATTTGAAAATTCCATCGTGGACTTTTTGAGAAAAGACGCTTTACTTAAGCCAAATTGATACCGTTTATAATGGCAGCTAATGGGGTTTTTCCAAAATGCAAACGTCAATATCTTTGGAAATAGGTCAAAGAAAAAATTTAATCCTTCATATTTTAAAGATAATCGTTTTATTGTAACATCCTAGGAATAAGGGCTTCATCGCTTTTGAACTGCTCTGTAGGGGGTCTTTTGAAGATTGATAATCTAACATGGGGCCCAATATGTTTTTTATAGTTTTTAACTGCTAGATATATTTAAACTAAGAATTTTTCAGAAATGTGCCTGTTTGATTTTTTAAAATCAATATATTAACTATAGAAATGTACAATATTAAAAATTCCACAGTGGATTTTTGCGAAAAGGAGACTTCAGTAAAGTCATAATGATAGCAGTTTATAATGGCACCCAATGGGGATTTCCAATATTTCAACGACAATATCTTTGGAACTAAGTAAAAGAAAAACTTTATCCCTTCTTGTTTTGGATAAAGTCATGTTATTGCAACATCCTTGGAATATGGCTCCATCACTTTTGAACTGCTCTACAGGGGGAGTTTTTAACAGCTGAATATATTAAAAATAAGAATTTATCAGAAATGTGCCCGTTTGATTTTTTTAAATCAATATATATATATATATATTAACTTTACTATAGAAATATACGATACTAGAAAATTCCATAGTGGACTTTCTGAGAAATGGACACTTTAGTAAAGCCATATTGATAGCCGTTTATAATGGCAGCCAATGGGGAATTTCGAAAATTCAAAAGAAAATATCTTTGGAACTAGGTAAAGAGAAGTCATCCCTTCTTATTTTGAAAATAATAGTGTTATTGTTATATCCTAGGAGTATGGCCCTTATCCCTTTTGAACTGTTCTGCAAGGGGCCTTTTGAAGATTGATAAATTATCATGGGGCTCAATATAGGTTTTTATAGTTTTTAACGGCTAAATATATCAAAATTAAGAAATTTTCAGAAATGTACCCGTTTGATTTTTTTAAATCAATATATTACCTATACGAATCTGCAATATTAGAAAATTTCACCGTGGACTTTTTGAGAAAATGACAATTTAGTAAAGCCATATTGATAGCCGTTTATAATGGCAGCCAATGGAGAATTTTCAAAATTCAAACGCAAATATCTTTGGAACTAGGTAAAAGAAAAAATTTAACCCTTCTTATTTTGAAGATAATCATGTTATTGTAACTTATTAGGAGAATTGGCATAATTACTCTAAAACTGTCCTGTATGGGGTCTTTTGAAGATTGGTAAATTAACATGGGGCTCAATATAGGTTTTTATAGTTTTTAACAGCTAAATATATAAAAAACAAGAAATTTTCAGAAATGTACCTGTTTGATTTCTTTAAAATCAATATATTAACTATAGAAATCTGCAATATTAGAAAATTTCACCGTAGAATTTTTGAGAAAAGGACACTTAAGTAAAGCCATATTGATAGCCATTTATAATGGCAGCCAATGGGGAATTTCCAAAATTCAAACTCAAATATCTTTGGAACTAGGTAAAAGAAAAAATTTAACCCTTCTTATTTTGAAGATAATCATGTTATTGTAACATCCTGGTCATATGGGCTTTATAACTCTAAAACTGTACTGCAGGGGATCTTTTGAAGATTGATAAATTAACATGGGGCTCAATGTAAATGTCCAAAATTTTCAAGGCCTGTTATAATCAAATGGGGCCACTTTTCAACACCACTTCGTTAGATATCAAAAATATATGTATTAGTAATACTTATGTCAAAAAATGATGCTATATATATAGCATGTGCAATTGAACACTTATCTGACTCCACTATTAAGTTTTCCCAATTTTCTAATTCTTTAAAGGATTATGGAATATAAGAAGTGGTTTGGGATTTTGATACGTTTCTATATGTTCTTATGATGGACGTGTTTTTAATTCGTATCCAAACTAATCTCAATGTTTTTTCAATTCACAATACTCATCTGTAATTTGCAACACAAGAAAATGTTTATATAAAAAATCGATTTAGTTGCAAGTTACTTATTATTATAATTATTAACCTCTATTAGATATTTTTTGGTTAAACTTTAACACAATAATCCTGTCATATAATTACCTATTTATCCATAGTGTCTATTTTCTTATCCCATAGGAATAAGTACAAACTTACAGTACACTCATGTAAGTTCTTATGTTTTTTTGCTTAAAATATACGATGTATTTCCGAAGAGTGATTCAAAAGTAATGTAACATTTTGTTTTTTTTCCAGTTCTGAAGATGAAAGTGAAGCAGAAGGAAAGCAATACCAAAGGTGATATGAAGATGGTAGCCTTGAAAAAGAAAAAGTTCTTGAAGAAAGGTAGTCTTACGCGGAAGGATATCCGTAAACTGACACTTTACATCGAGGATGGTGGATCGTGTGAATGCAATCGCATCGAAGAGAACAGTGAAAAGACCCACTATCTAATTATGGGTAACAAACAAGGGGATAGACTTGTCACATCATTTGTTATGAAATGGGACCGTAAGAATAAGGAAATTAGGCGGGCAGTTAAATCCCTCCGCAAGGCTGATATATGTAAAGGTGGCGTCAAGGCGCTTAACGACCACGCTGCCCCAATGTCGAACTCTAAGAAAAAGAACAAAAAGAAGCGAAACCGCAAAGGGAAAAACAGGAAAGGAAAAAAGGGAAAACAAGAAAATCCCGAGAAAAATTAATATTAACTTCAAAGACCTCTGTCAAAAGGCTATCGATATATGTGTCCAAGAACGTCACGAAGACTGCACGACAATCCGACCGTTTTGTATATGTTATCTGGATTCAATATGGTAGCGACATCTATATGAGCAAAGTGGAATATACAAATATATTTGATGTGTTTGTAAATATGCAATCGTGATTTTTAATATATGAGAGGATGATCGTGTTATCATGTGAATTAGAGGACTAAAAACGTGTCTCGATTTCAATGAACATTTGGGCAAACTACTGGCATTGTTGAAGAGCCATATCAAAAAACGTTACATGTCTTTGATATTTTGATAATACGGTGAAAATAGTTTGGCCTCGTGAGGAAACATGATAACTATTATGTATTTCTAACTGAAGAACTTCTAGTGTAGACTATAAATAATTAGTAAAACTATTATATCACAAACTGAACTATTTGAAAGTTGCCAGTTCTTTTTGAATAGAATCAAGCGCTTTTCAAAAAACATTTCCAAAACTTTCAAATCACTACTGCATGATAATTGACTTAATTTCATGTTCAATGGTAAGCTCAGAGAAAGATCTTGCAAGCTTTTTACTCATTCTCTTTTCTCATATCATTTCTTGATCTTTTTATTTGAAAATTCTATTTTCTAAAAAATCACAATATTTCTAACCTTACTCAAGGTATACATACATTCTGATATTTATGGTTTGATTTTGGTAACTTTAATTCGAAAAAGGTGTACAATTAAATAAACTGTCGTGGATCTTTACTGAGATCTAGGAACGTATTAATGAATTGTAAATAGTGCATGTGTCAATCTCTCTCTGATTCTTTTTTAAAGTTTAAACATCGAAATACGTAATTGTTTAATCAATTAAAATCATTTCTCAATTTCATATTTTCTATTTTTGCAACTTTGTAAGAAAATGGAAGTTTCTGTATTTATATAACATTATAACTATTAGCTAAATCTATGTGATATTATATTGAGAAAGTACACAAAAAGAAAAGAGGGAGCTAATCTCAAAACAGACCAATATGAAATAAGAGAAAGGGAGAACGGATCCAATACAAGTACATCGATTTTGATGAAAAAGTTAGTTCCAATGTTTAACCTTTTATGTCGCCTGCCCCTAAGTCACATGGGTGATACAATATTATTTTGAGCTCGCTAAACCGAAGCAGTCAGTTAAGGTAGAATCATGCAACTTCCAGACCTTTTTAACGAATCTGTCGAGGTTGGTGAATCTGTCACCCCCTGTATCTCTAATTCAGTTGTAAATAATCAACATCAGATCTGTCGTTGAGAAAACCCGTTTGACATCTCGATGGCTTTTGGGTAAATGCATGATATTGTACAACTTAAAATTGAAATTTCTATGATATTTACAAAATATATGTTCCCGAAACTGATTATCTCCTTATTTTTTTTATTGAAGTTGGTTCTCTCTTTTGAAGGATAGGTCCTATCATGATTTTGGGATGGATGTATTTGTGCCAGTCACTAGGACTACTACAATGATCTAAATAAACGAAACAGTGTGTATAGCATATGATATCATAAGGAATGTAAATATTTTTAACCGAAAAATGTAGTAGAATAACATCATGACTTATTCAAGACTAATATATATCTTATAATAATTATTTTAGTTTAATTATAAAAGCGCATGAGAAATTTCCAAAGCCTTTGTCAAACTAAGCCATCGCCTTGGTTACACATATTTGGCAACATAATAATTTCGTATTATTCTAAACTTTATTGTATAAAAATATCAATGTAATTTGTACATGTTCATTTGTTTAAAAATAAATAAATATGTTCACCTTAAAATATGTTGTTTTGAGCTTAGATTTATCGCATTTGATGCCAATATATTCGTATTTAGAGAACAATTCAGCATCAATCGAAGACGTTCAACCAATTAAATTACTGATCCGTACCCATTCTTGCTTGCTTGTCGATAGTCGTAGAATCGTTTTACAGTTTGTTTTAATTCCTCGATCTTTACAAAATGGGCGAGCAATATGCTACACTTGTCCATATTGATTGAATGCACATCGTTACATGTAATATCATGCGTTCCTCGTCCCTTGAGACTTGTTTCACATGTTTAATATTGCAGTTTTATTTCCAATATCTTTGATATTATATACTTTAGATCATATTTCTAGTCTTCATCTTCTTGTTCCTCTGAGGATGAACTCTCAATTTCTCCAAAGATATCCGATCCTGCTGCTTTTGATTCCGCAGCCATATCTTTGGACATTAATTTCAAAATGATAACGGAATTCGAGTCTCTCATGCCAAACACCAATAGGTTTCCTTCCATAGCAATATTGAAACACTGGATGCGTGTATCAGGGCTGAAAATCGCAAGCACAGTTGCTTTTTCCAAGTCCCACAGTGATACATCGCCAGCATAGACTGCTGCTTGGGTGCCCTCTTTTATTATCACAATCTTGCTATCGACTCCGAAGTTCAATCCTTTGTAGCCTTTTATTTTTCGTAATGAACTCGTTCGGCGGGGATCCCAGATTCTCAGCTCATTGTTCGCCTTACCGAATACTATTCTCTCAGCCTTTTCAGCGATTGCTACTGCCATGACATCTCTCTCATTCTTCAACCGCTTACGGACAAATCCCTCCTTCAAGTCCCAAAGTGTGAGGTAACTGGTCTTTGTGTCATCGTCATAGTTGGCATGGACAAGATGGCTGCCGTTGCTTGTCAGAGCAGAAACATGAAGGAACATCATACAGCTATCATTCCTAAGCGTATGTGTATGGGTGGCGGCCTCAACATCAAAAACACATAAGTGGTGGGCATAATATGCTGCAACCAGTACGGTAAGATCTTCACTTATTATGTACTGTTCTATGGAGTTGTCCGTCTCCTTTTTCAACTCATCTCGCTTCTTTCTCAACTCATATTCTTCCTCCTCCTGGCGCTTCTTTCTGTCTAGCTCCGTCTCTGTTCTTCGCTCCCATGGTAACATCTTACTGTTATTGCCCAATCCTTTCACCCGAGGTGAGACATCGTCTTCGGGAATGTGATTCTGATTTCTCTCAAGCTCTTTAAAGTTGGTCTTGATGCGCATCAATACATGTCCACTGCTCAGACTCCAGATGATATGATGACTTCTGTTTTCACTGAGCCCCATAAGCCTGTCTTCATCCAAGAGTACATATTCGTGCGCTGGTGATGGAACGATGAACAAGCCCGTCATTTTACCCTCATACCTCTTGGTCCTCAGATTATAAACATATACTGTCTGCAAAACTGGTCGAGATTCATCTCCAACTTGGGCGAAAGATCTTTCAGAAAGAATGATCACCTTCGTATTGCGAATAACGACAATATCACTTGGATCAACTAGTCCGTGTTCTATTCGTACAGCACTCCCAGACAGCTTCCCCTTTGCTACATTCCATACACTGATTGGTCCATTGTTCATAGCCCGTGCTATCACATACCTCGGATTATTGACCATTGGCTGAATCTCCGCAACTCCAAGCTTCTTCGCTTTTTTGGAACCGCCTGGCTGGTTGATTTTACTTGAGAGGTTCCATATTCTCAGCGTATTATCTTTTTTGTTAGCTGTCAGTACAAACTTGAAGTTCAAACTGGCTGAGATGTCGACAACCTTTGACTGATGGGCGAGATGTTTGTGTTCTTCTGTCTCTAGGTTCCACACGGCGATATCTGTTGTGTTATTGCGCTCAGAGGGGCACATTGATATGGCATGGGAGCCAATTTCATTGACGTACAAATGATCTGCTTGACAATTCGTACAACCTCTCACAGACCTGAGATACTTTCCATTTTTCGTGTCAAAAAGTTCAAGGTTATGAAGCTCGTGTAGTTTCATGTATTGATACCTTACTGTTACTATGTAGTAGTCTCTAGACATCCCGAGTGCCGTCACTGATCCACCCTCTTCATTACATTGTAATGTTCGTGACTGTCGCCCGCTTCTAGAATTCATGAGCATGGCATAATTTGCGCTCCTGTATGCTACAAGAACATTGTTCCCATAGTGATATAGTGATGCTAATATAGAGCGGTCTTTATGGAGAGCACCTTTCGATTCCAGTCTTGATTCAACAAGTAATGTGAAGTTGGATTCCAAGTCCCACGAGCGAAGTGTGTTGCTCCCATCAAACAGTGCAACAAGTATGTTCCCTTCATTAGCTAGCGCCAGCGTAGCCGTGTCTACGTACTCATCAATACTTTTAACGAGCTCTCCTGTTCTCAGACTCCAAATGTTGATCAAGCCGGTGGACACAGTGCATGCATAGCAGTTATTCATCCCTAATATTATTTGCACAATATTCGTCCCTGCAGATGGTATAGTTCTTGTGACAATTCCGTTCCTCAGATCCCACATCTTTAGACTGCCGTCTTTAGAAGCTGTGACAGCCTTGTAGCCATCATTAGTTGTAGTCACCGCCGTAATTGGGTCACTATGGCCGGCTAGGAGATCAAACAGCATCCCTCCCGGGGGTGTGAGACACGTGGTGGAAGGGATCAAGGCGGGAACAGAACCACGGCTACATTGCTCAAACAAAGGATGCAGATGTGGGTACTTTCTCGGATCTCCTGGAGATGCTGGTACGTCATGGGTTATTATGGTATGTAGTCGTCCCACTATTTGAGACGCCAACTGTCTTGGGTCTTTGCTAAGTGCTTCTGTTGAGAGTTGGAGAGTATCTGATAGAAGTTTCAGATCATTATCTTTTGGCTCAGTTTCTATGGCAACCTGGAATTCGTCCAATAGAGATCTTAGTGATGAGCTGCATATTGTTGCCAATAGGAACTCGAAATTGCACAATGCGGAATATTTTAGAATATCAATTTGGTTGGACAGTAGGAGATGATGTGGGAGTTCATTTAGCTTTCGCTTGTTGTAGACCCGTATGATTTCATTCTGTTTGTTAGGTCTTTCAAAGAACAATGGTTGAGGTGCGACGAACCTGTCTGACCCAACATCGTTGCCCAGGTGAGCTTTTTTCACCCCGTGCCACTTTCCAAGGAAATATTCTGCCATGGCTTTGTGGTAGGAGGGTGCCTTGTCCTTGTTTTTAAGATATCTTTCCTCTGTTGCCTCATAGAATTGAGCATGTGAGAATCGTATGGTGATCAGTCCATCTGCCATTCTCTCAGATAGGAATGGCTTCAGGTCAAGGTAAAGTCTATGCAAGCACAATGGTGGAATTCTTCTCACTGGGAGTTTATTATTTGCACCAATTATGTCTTCCATTACTACATCATCTAATGAAAGCAGGTCTTCTATTTCTGTGTATGTCACACCATGTCGACTTGCAGCTATATAACCCATAGCACGACGAACCAAAGGTTCTCCATGTGTTCTCTCAAGTCGCCCGATAAATACATTGATCATTCTCCTCGAGTCACCAGGTACCATGCCGTCTGTGATGACGTCATCTGAACGCCAATAGATCGCTTCATAGATGGCAACTTTCAGGAACAATGGACTATGGCACTTTCTGAACGATTCAACAATTCTATCAGTCTGTTCTTGAGTGAGCACATGGGAGTGCTTGTCCAGTAGATGATGCATGACTATCAAACCATCGTCCATTCTAAAGTCGGGAAGCTCAATAAAATTGTTTTTGTGTTCTGAGTAGAGGGACTGGAGTGCAGGGTAAACCTGGAATCTTTCGTCCGGCCGAGTGGAAAGAATCATGTGAACATTTTCTGGAAGTTCACGTGGCAACCAGTGAAGCTTTCTGGAATCGTTCCATTCTGAAACATAGTAGCAAAGATGGATTACAAAGAGCTTGGATAAAAGAGAAATATACTGAGATGGTACAATCATCAGAACTGAACTATATAAAACAATTTACTAATTGATCTTTTAATAAATCGATTCAGTGATTTGATCATGACCCATAATAAATAAGCAATTTAATCATAGCTGACTTACCGATAAGTTCGTCTAGTGCGTCTATATACAGAACTAGGGGTCTCTCAGTTGTTGCATGGCTCAATCGCTCAAGGAAGTCATTATTCAATCCTTTGATATCTTCTGGAATCTCGTCTGCTACTCCTCCATATATCTCACAAAGTTGATGGCACAAGGAGCGAAGGAACAGCCTGATTGTCTTAGAATCCGCCGTGGAACCAATCATTCTGAGGACGATGACACTGTTTGTCCTGAGAATAAATATATTTTGGATAAACTAAACGAAAGAAATTGTTTGATATGAGTGACATCAGTAACAATGAACCAAACAGGGCCATGATGTTTCAAAAGTCTAAACAGCTATAGTTGGTTAAATGATTTCATCAACCCTCAAGTTGTAGTTGACAAGTATTTATATCGGTTGTTATTCTGACATATGCATGTGATTTGCAGATTTCATGTTTCTCATGTTTAATAACCTACCCTTTTATCCATTTGTGAGTGTCTTTAGCTGCCTTGGCGATAAGGGCCGATTTTCCCATCCCGCTAGGCCCATAGATAATCAACGGGGCTTTGGTATTTGATCTTAGATACGTTTTGATGGTAGACAACTGCTCCTTTCTTCCATGAAACTCTCGGGATCTGCAAGGAAATTCGTGAATACATGTGTAGTTATGATGCTTATCGCTTAAACATTTTGGGTTGATTTTTTTTCAAATGTTGCCTTTTTGTGGATTTTTATTTCATCTTCAATTTCTTTGAGTATGATATTTGATTCTCTTGTTTCAGTTTATGCTTTTAGCATAATCATTCCATGTTTACTTCAACAATTATTTTATCTAAAACTTGTGAATTCTCTACGTCCCAGTGTACACGTATCGTCGATAACAAATGAGTGTATTCAGGTATTACAAGTTTATCCCATGGTTGCAAGGATATAGATCGAATATCACACGAAAATATATTTGATATGTGGATCAAGATATCATATTTCAGCAAAAAATTCACAAACCATCGAATATCACCTTTAAACTATCGAATATCACGTCTAAAAAGTGATATTCGATGGTTTCGATTTTTTTCAAAAAAAATTCGTTTTACATTTTTTGATTATTTTCAAAAATATTCAAAAAAAATTCAAAATTTCAAAAATTTCAAATTTTTTTTCTCAAATTATATTTTTCAACTTTTTTGGCTGATGATGATTTCCCATGGGATAAACGGACAATCCTATGGTTTTTCAAAAATATCAAGTATATCCACTCATGGATACAAATATCTTCACTCTTTTGCTGCGCTCACTCATGAAGATATCAATATCCACTCATGGATATAAATGATATTTTTTCAAAACCATAGGATATTCCTATATTATCTCTTTAAGTACATATATTGTGATTACCGTTGATGGCAGTATCCTATATGTTGTTGCACTTCTTCAAACAGATTTAGTTTGTCCTGGCTTTCATCTGGCATTGGTGTTGTTATATTGAGCATATGTCTGTTAATGATTTGTGTGAACTCTGTGTTGACCTTCTCCAAATACACAAAGTGGTTCCTGTTCGTAAGTGGACTGATCCCCTCCTTGGACCACTGACACGTGTTGTTTATGATACAACTGGGTGACATCTATACAGAACATAAGAATAATGCCGTCAACATTTAATGTGTCTTCCGTTTGGATTGAATAACTCAATGGTTAGGAACTCGAAGATATAACGGATATTATTTAAGTAATTTAAACTAGCAAATGGAATACATAAATGCACGGACTAGAATTGGATAAACATATGATATTTAAATGATTTTCATACATTTACATACCTGATCTGTCATCCGTTTGTCAAGACTGCTTAGTTTTTCTTTCAAGACAGGGTCAATGACAGGCCTCATAGGAAGCAGATCGACATATTCTCTGGCTTTAGGGTCAACATATTTGCCTTTCATATCGTCTATGTTCCGTCTGAACCAGATGCAGTTGCTTTGGATCTCTGTTTCATCCAGACTCAGAATGCCTTGTTCGAGTTCATGCTCTTGCACTAAACATTAAACATTACAATTATCATTCCAGTGTAATACTCTCCTTACATTAAAATGCTTTATGTAACTTAATTTCTACAGGTAGTACAGTATCATTATTAGGGGATGCATTCAATGCGCACTATATTCAGTACATCACAGATATACTTGCTCACAACATTTGTTGCAGATGGGTTGTACTGAGCAATATTCTCAGTTGCTGTTATTTTCCTTATTTTTCTGTTTATGATGCTATTCATACAATTTCTCACTTACATGATTTTTGATATTTCTCTGCGAGAATCTCATCTTTCAATGCTTCCTCAGCGTATTTCTCAAACAACCCTGAGAGTTTCTTCTGTACTGACATCCAACTGTTTCTGGCCTGTTGCTTCTTACTTGCATCTCTGGAGTTGATGGATTTGAACATCGTACTGGAAAAAAGGACGTGTTAAACATATAAAACAAAGTGAGTTTAAAATGCCTCCGTTTTGCAGAGTCTCAATAGGAAGTCCTATATCTTTGTCTGAAATTGTTTGAAATTCCTCCAGTCGTTTGCTTTAATTTCAATATCACTCTTGGAAACACGAGGCTCACTTTATGAATCATACCACGGCTACTAAATAGGAGAGTATGGTTGAAGCAGAATGAATGCCACAGATTGTTGATCCAGTCTCTATTGCATACCTTATTTTCTGTAGTCTGTATACATATGGCACCACATTGGTGTCCTTCTTGTACCAGTTGGTGAGAAGTCCGGGTTCAGCAGCAGTCTCTTGTTTGTCACCATTCTCCTCGTTCTCCACTGGGGTTGAGAACTGTTCTATTGCTCGCACAAACCTTTGTTCAAGAATAATCATCTTTGCGGATTGCTTGAAATGTTCCAGTGGGGTCTTCCTTGGGCTTGACTCTTCATCTGATGCTTGACTTCCTTTGTTTTTCTTTCTTTGATTTTCAGTCACAAGGATTTTTCTTTCGTATGCTTCAAGAACTGAGCTTACACTGTCCTTATCTTTATCCCAACGCACGGCTCTGAGGATAGCTTCAAATTCATCGCCGTTTATAGTTTTAGGGAGTATAAAACTGCCATACTTTTGCCCAAGGAATGACTAAAATAAAAACAATATTGTGACACTCTACATTGTGAACTTTCAAACAGAAGGTAGGGTTAAAATCATATACAGCATCAATCAATTCAGTCTTAATTGTTCTGAAATAGTTAAATGCAAGTTGGATTAAATGCTCATACAGGGTGTTAAAAAAACGCAACCCAAAGAAATAGCTATATCTTGAAAGATAATTGTTCAATTATGTTTATTTTTTCAGGAAAGAAAGAAGAGACTGTGTATGTATGTATAGCTCCTGTAGTTGGTTAGTTGTAAAAAATGATGCATTGGACTCCTGCTCAAAGACAGTTATACTAGGAAAATACGAAAAACCCAGTCAGGGCTGACTGCAACCGCAAAAAACTAAATAACTTCTTCGCCATAGTGTTTTGGCTCTTCAAATTTGGCACAAATCATCTTCATTCACTGTATGGTAAATCTCTAAAGTGAAATTAAAATCACTTCAGGGACTTTACAGTTATGGTCAAAATACTTTCAAATCGCAGTCAAACGCCCTGGTTCAGGCAGACTTCAGAAGGCATTTTGACCATAACTGTAAAGTCCCTGAGGTGATTTTGATGAAACTCCGCAAAGTCACCAAACATTGAATAAGGATAATTTGTGCCAAATCTGAAGTGCCAAAACACTATGGTTAGAAAGTTGTGAGGTTTTATTGCTGTGGCAGTCACCTCTGACTGCATTTTTCGTATTTTCCTAGAACAACTGTCTTTTGGGCAGGTGTCCAATGCATCATGTTTTACAACTTACGAACAACAGGAGCTATACATACACATTATTTTCTTTCTTTTCCTGAAAAAATGAACATAATTGAATTAGTATTTTCCAAGATATAGTGATTTTCCATTTGCGTTGTTCGTATTTTCCATGTACTACTGCCTTTTGAGCAGGTGTACAAGACATCATGTTTTACAACTAACTAACAACAGGAGCCATACATACACAGTCTCTTCTTTATTTCCTGAAAATATGAACAAAATTGGATAAGACTTTTTTAAAGATATGGCGATTTCTTTGGGTTATGTTTTTTTGAACACCCTGTATGTTTGGAGACAAATGGACTTTTATACACGGAATGTATCTGATGAAATATTGATAGAAATGTCCGAGTATTTGAATGATGAAAGGTTCTTACCACAAAGTTGAGACCATTTGAATGCTCTTGACATTCTGTCAAGGCCTTAAGACAGGTTTCCTCCCCAAAATGATCGTCAAATATAAAGTCCTTGAACCCCCAATGTAGGTCAAGCATTTGCACCACATATCCCTTCTCCTTACACAGTTGCTTGATTTGGGGGTAGACTTTGTACATCAGATCTGTCCTCTCCATCTCAGAGTCTACAATCACAATATATTATGAAATAGCTAATTCCCCCAAAAATTTCAGACCTCTGTATAGTATGGTATATGTTTCAAATAGGTACTTATGGAAAGTAAAATTTGTACATTCGTAGACAGAAGGTTGTGTTCCACAATTCCACAGAAAGTGAATCGGGTTTTGGAGAATCATTGACCTGATCAAAATGGACATATGGCTCTCGTGCAATCTTGCGTTTACTTCTTTATAATTTTATTATTCAATCATCACCTGTTACATTTTACTGGTCTCATAGCACTGATTCATAGCATAATATTATTTTTATTTACCTGTAAATGCAGAGCTGATGTAGATGGTGATCACCTTATCTGTATGAGGACACTCAAGATGGACCTCTCCCTGGAGAATCCTCGTCATCCTTTCCTCTACAGAGAATATCCTAGACTGCCTGGACTCCGGTCTATTCACTAGTGGTGTCTGAACGGGACTCATAGCCACTTTTCTCCTAATATTATCATTCTCATCAATTGTTGATTCATCTTTGTTGATAATATGAGGCATTTCTTGAAGAGATACCCGTTTAGTAAGTCTACGATCTGAGTGAATATTTGGGAAATGGTCTGATAATGTCATTCCATGAATGTCTTTTGTTATAGCTGGCAATATGAGATCTGTTTCTTCTATTTGATTAGCACCAAATTGACCTACAGGATTTGAGATTTGCATTTTGTTGTTAACTCCTACAGACTTATGGTTGTCATTTGGAAGTTCTCCTAGAGTATCTCCTTGCTTTTTGAAAGAGTTTACCATAGCGGCAATAGAGTTTTTGTGTTTCTTTATAACCTTTTCACCCCAGTCGTTGTACGTGTGGTAAATATCAGGCGGGCGCGTCTGAAACATAATGGCAATGCAACGAATCATGTACTAAGCAGTAGACAACAATGATTGACCATTCCATAGCGTCCTTGGGTTACAGTGTCGAGATGAGAATTTGGCAGTCAATTTGATTTGAGAGGTGAAAGGAACCAATTACTGATGTTTTGTTTGTGTCAAATGTGATTGTAGATGGACATACATTTAGGACATAGAGGTATTTTGAATTGGTGTCTTTCAAAAATATCACATATGCAATATTATTCTAATTCATGCATATCTACAGGAAATGTGGACTTTGTGTGCTTTTCTCTTTCGAATTGAAATCTATTCGTTTACGTACCGATTCTTCCACCACAGGAGCTGATGCATTATCTTTTTGATCGCCATCGTTTGTCTTTAACTCCTTATCAATTATATTGCTAATTCTCTTCTCCAGTCGCTTCGTCAACTTTTTCTACAAGACAAAGGATACTCATTCTCATACAATACCATATCTATTTGGACATATGTGATGGTGAAATTATTGTTTGTTTTTTCGAATGGATTTTGAAATATGTTTTCAAAATATTGAACAAACTGTCCGATAGGGTTTAATAAGCTTTTTGATTTTCAAACCTTTGCGCTATCTCATTTTCCCTCAACATGTAAATTAAAAATCCTAGGCAAGGTTTTAGAATGTTTTTTCCTCATATGTGATATCTATATAAAAGAAAGCAGGAGGTGCTAATTTTTCGGTGAATATACAAGCTCCTTGGGCTCCGTGAAATATCATCTTGTGAAAGTGTCACAGGTATTCGCTTCAATAGAATTAAATATTTGTATTATTATTTACCCTGAGATGTGTGACAATTTTATGTTGTGTCCCTTCAGAAACTTTCTTCTGTCGTAGGTTCCAGTGATTGGGCTGCAGCTGCAACAGATACGAATGTTATGTTAATCAAGGGGGGTCATTTTCAGAAACTTTGTAAAATAAGGAATTCATTCAGATTTGTCCAGTGTTTTCTTACTATGATGTCATTATATCCGTAGTTTAAACAATTAGTTTAGGTTCTTCCTAGCCCTAAGAAGTTTCCGTACGCTTATTTATGCAAATCAGTTGACACGATTTTGAGTGATCTCCTAATGTTGACATTTGCGCTTTCTTATATATGAATAGCTTAGCGAAATAATGTAAAATTATAATAAGGTTATGAGAGGGCTCAGTATAGACCCTTGGGGCACACAGTCAAACAAAATATGCACGATCTTAGTTCACAATTCGAGTAAGAATGTGTGGAACTAACCAACGTCCATATTGAGCTTTCTGTCTTCAACTAATACATGCATATAGACGTATAGGGACGCGACACTGTTCAACACTGCAATGAAAATGTAGATCCAATCACTTACATCTTCCATTGATCCTTGATAAATATGCCCATTCTCTCGGGAGAACTGAGTTGATGAGAAGCGCTTGCTAGGAACAGTGTTGAAAGTTGGTTCTCTTTCCATCGGAGGCAGGTACACAGTGCTTCGCTTCCTCCCTTCCTCAGAAGCCTGGAAAACAAAGAAAATACCAACTTAGTAGAAATGCAATTATTGAATAACCTAACCTTTCCATAAAAATAAAGTCCTCAATATAAAAAATCGCTGCGGGTTTCCGTTACGTGACGTTGTACATATCCATGCCGATGTTTTTGTCACTGTATACCGTTGTTTCTATTAATATGCTTGTTATTCATTTTTATGTGTTGTTCTTATTAGTGATCAATAAACTCGTTTAAAATGATTATCCGGATATATTAGGTTCCTTGTTATCAGGTTTGCTTCGTCGTAATTTATAAGTGTTTTCATTATTTCCTTTACAAGAGTATAATCTGAATTTTACCGGAACAGTTTTCCTACGAATCCCCGGTACAGTGTCAGGCATCTTTCTCTTCATCATAATATCTTTATCTTTGCCTCATAGATAACGATTAAATCTGATTTGTAATAACGCAGTGAAATTAATATTTCTATGTCGCCATTGTCCATTTCATTTCCCTCTAAGCAACGGTTGTGTGTACATGTATAAATGATATCATAAATTAAAGTCCTCTTCACAGGATCACTGTTTACCTTCAATTGACACTGTCACTCAAATAAAATACATTTGTTCGAGTGTTTGCTTTTCTTTTCTTATGAAAGAACGTTTTTGACACAATGTTCTTTAAACGCCTTTAGAATCCATTTTAAACTCTGTATTTATTCCTTTTACCGAAAAAACCTTTATACCTTTGCAATTCTATGTTTTATGTTGTACTCAGTTCATTTTTTATAGATTACAAATAGTCGCCTTTGAGAAATGGAATTTCTATTTGTTTTCTTAGGTGATCGTGCTTTTCAGGTTGACAACCATATAAGAGATTAAAACGTGCATTAGGCAAAATGTGTGTATTTCTTTTAAACGAAAACGTAGACTAAACATTTATTTCTAGAGCTTAAAACGACCCATTGTGTTTTACAAATTAGAAACGTATCGATAATCTCAAATTCTGCATAATATCACGTAAAGCCTTCTCAATCAGTTGGTTCTTCTGTCGAAGTGAGACAATCGTTCATATCTAGGGAACGAATCGATATATTGATATATATATGAGCCAAACTGTAGGTAATTATATTCCGCGGAAGGGTGGGGGGGGGGAGATTCCCTTTAGCCCTCTTATACGGTGCCTTAGCGTATAAATCGATTAAATATCCAATAATTTAAGCAAATTTCATTTTAGGGCACTCTATAAATAACAATTAAATGTCGTCTAATTCACTAATTATTCAAACAAAAAGATAATGTCATGAAAGAAACTTGAATAAAAAATTAACAAAACTTCAACTGAATGAAAGTGCTACTGCGTTGGGGGGGGGGGGGGGGGGGGGGGGGGTCGACTCTAACTTAATTTATGTAAAGCGAAAATCGTTCTTTTTATGGTTTCCCTAATAATAAAAATAATAATTTAATTCGAAATGGTAGTACTGTTTGTTGGGTTTGTATATCTGTAATACCATAAGACATTTTATAGCGAGACAAACATACTCCAAATACAATTGTAAATATACGTTAAGGAACTTTATCAATTAATAAATTTATTTATCCCTTCTAGTATTCGTGGCAGTTGTCATAAGCGCAGATTAAAGTGAATATATGTATTAATTATTGAATTATGGATTTGTTGTTTCGTTTATTACGCGTAGAGTTTGTCCGAAGTGACAACATATTTGAACTTCTTGCTAGCAATCAAACGTTGAAAGTGAGTAACTGTATTAATTATTGAATTATGAATTCATTATGATTCATGAAATAATATTGCACGGACAGTTTGTTTGAAGTGACAAAATATTTGAAGCAATATTAGAATAATTGTAAACAAATTATCTGAGAAATGAAACAACATTATAAGTTATTGAATGATTTGAAGTGCAATACAGGATATATTCTGCTCGATGAATTCCGTATTGGAACGAGACGAAGAATATCGAGACAGAATATGCACTTCAAATCATTCAATAACGTTTTTATCGTGTTATTCTCTGTATTGCTACTGAGATTGTCTCCTCCGTACCAATATTTTCTGTATTACGACGGAGATGATCTACGGGGACAATCTCAGTAGCAATACAGATTGCTACAGCACAAGAACTGACCATTCAGAGGGCTTCATTTTACAGATCATACGATAAGTACAGGTATAACAATAGACAACTTTTATTAAATTGGATGCTCAGTTCTCTCAGTGCACCGATTTTTGTTATCTTCAAAAAATAAAAAACCAAGAAAATAATTCATTGTCGCCATGGGATATGTTTATCAGGCATCACCATAGCAATGAGCAAATAACGGAAAGATTTGTTTCAATTAGGTATTGGTTTTGTTAACAATTGGAGCTGATATTAATGAGCATTTATCTCAGTAATATATCTTCTTCTGACATTTTTATCATTCTGTCATGCAATTGCTTTTTATAGTTCCTTCATCAAATACGTTTGTACTTACAATAGCACAGTTTCCGTGTAACTAAGAAATGTGGAGAATGATTTAACATTAAATATAAGCCTTCATTCTGGCGTGACGTCATGCTCAAATAGGTTCCGATTTAGTTTTTAAAATGATTCTGACAAATTGTTAATGCAATTGAGATATCTTGCAAAAATAGCAGATTCTAAAATAGCAATTTAAATATATCTATCATGTCTATCGACTATTTCATAGTCTCAATTTGGCAAAATTGATGATGTTAACATCAATATAAAGAAGAAAGCGCAGGAGCAACAGAAAGCCCTTTCTTAACCAAATGGTTACTATGGTTACCTTTATTAATTGTTTAATATGTAGATTTGTTTCCTCCATATTGACTGTTAGTCTTTTAAGCTTAATTGTTCTCCGTTTGTAGTTTGGAAGAAAGTGGACTTTCTTTCTCATAGACATCGTTGACATTTTTGTCGCTTCGTCCTGCTCTGTGTTCCGAGTATATAACTGTTTGTCAATGTAGAGCAAACTCCATGTTCTTCTTCATATAGTATGCAGGTATATACTTCGATCATGCTTGTTATATGTATCCAAATTACAATAATTACAACTTGTACAGTTGTAGGTCATTTTATGAGGAAATTCAATTCTATTTAGTTGCATCTACACTTTTATTACAATCAGCAATCTTTTTTGTTTATAGTCAATGGCATCGGGTCAGTGCTTCCAATGGGTCTCCATTCTCCCGAAAAATGATAAAAGTTCTACCTTCACTGTGTAATATAGCATACTGCTGCCCAAGTAGCGTCTCTAAGGGCATCGTTTGCGAGCATTTACGTTTAATTTGCAATAGTTAAGAGCGAGTGTAAAGATTCAATTGGTGTCAGAACAATTAAACGACAAAAGCCAAATAGAGAACCACTCATAGAATATCATATTTGTTTGTCAGACAGCTAACCTTCAACAACTGCTTTTTTCAAATTTTTTCAACACGTATTGTCCAATGTTTGTACACTCGGTAAGTGCGTATTGGTTTTCTCATTTCAGACAAAACTATTCATTTGTTAAATAACTCAAGATCCATGTCAAATAATCTCCACCATTGCTATCCATTTGAGATCAGCGATCCATGAAATGTATCCTATTCCATTTAACTCTCAAAATTAATGCAGATCTACTAGAGAAATAATATCAAGGTTCCAACATGTTACCTGTTACTAGATAGTAACCAATAGACCCCACAGTTAGTATGGCTTAAATAAAGCGGTCAATAATAGTTTAGCTTTAAGATATAACAAAAACATTGACAGATTAGTATTGAGTCATTGACTGAACTCATACTTTGATCCTTCAATTCGGTGGAAAAAAATGTCAACAGACAATGGAGGACTTGGCAAGTAACTAAGGATATGTTCACCCATGAGAACAATGACACATTCCGTACTTCAGTGGTCGTAAGAGTTCCTCTTGTTTTTTAACTTTTGTCTTTCTGGTTATGTGGCTTATATGAGCACGAGCCCATAACACGAGCTTATGACAGATTCTTCAGTTCGTGACCAAAACATCTTTGTTTTTTCTACTAGATTTACCGGCGAAGAAGTGACCAAGAGCCGTTAGTTCTTTGAGCAAGAACAACTCTAAACATGGAACAGGAGTTTGAGATATTAGCACTCAAATATTTATATATTAAGTGAACCCAGCGGAAGAAACTGTTATTTGTTCAAGAGATTTTGATTATCCCTGGTTATACATAATTTTGTTCAGAGCGACACCTATAAAGGACCACGGAACAAATCTAGAATAGAAAATGGGGAATGCATAGTTTACGTACTTGACGGTATCGAAATGATCATCACTAGTTAGGGGCCGTGACCATAAGCGAGGTATACTTTTTCCGAGTAATATGTATTTGTCAGGGCCAAAAATGCCAAAATCGCTTTCAGAATGCATTCTCCATTTACAGAAAATGCAAAGCCTGAGAATAAAATTTGGTGAATGTGGAATGTGGATGCTGTTTAATAAAATATTTATTCTGAAATTAAATAATCATGCATAATTGAAATTTCCAAAACTTGTGTTAAAAACTAAGGCTCAGGATTAGGTTCTCAAACCAGAACACGAACCAAGTTACATAATATTATATAATACCGCCGTACCTTGTCGTATCGCATCTGTAGTAATCTATATACTACCGATGTTGAAACTCTCGAGGTATTTATATCTCTGAGTCTTTGTTGTCTGCTTTCGTGACCCGGATTTCCTTGAGCAGAACCTGCTTGAAATGAAGTTTCCTTTAAAGCCCCACGAGCAATATATCGAGCGCTAGTGTCAGTAAACTCAACCATCCGTTTTTCATCGTCACCAGCCATGTTTCGTAGCCAGTTTTTGCTCTTAGAAAAGCATGTTATTCTGTCCATAAACAACTTTCTGATCGATGATCAATGCTATTTTGAATTGTCGCATCCTTCCTCAGAAATTTTGTGTCTTGTCTACTTATAACTTTGTGGAGATCGCTTTGAGGTTGTGTACTTATAGTAAATCGAAGTTTATTGTTTATTTCAACTTCATCAATGTCTTAATTGGAATTAAACACTGCCTTGATATGAAACCTACAAAACGTTTTGATAAATTCCTGATATCATACGACGGAGTGTGAAAGTGTTGGTCTAGTTAAACAGACGTCTCATATCTCACATCGTTTCACAATGAACTCTTAGTTTAAATAGATATCATACAGTCTGGTAATTATAAGCAGTAACGAATTCTACCAAAAGATAAGTTAATCAGCTCTCCAATACACCATTGTGTATTTGCAAATGATTAAGAAAATATTGGAGATGAATTGTTATGCCGATAAAGCAAAATGAAATTATCACTCCACTTGAGAAAGAGGGTAAATAAACCCTTGTAATCTAGATCAACAAGACCGCCTCGGCCGATATATCGCAGAATAAAGGTTTGAATTTTGTCTTCTAATAATGGTTGACAATGTATTCAGTTTTATATTTGTCTCGTTTGACTAGGAGTAAAGATTATAAAGTTATAGCTTTTATTCCAACGTTGGAACCGTCGTCGTCCTCTTATCCTGCCCTCATTTGATCAAGATGGCCTGTAATTATGCTGAAGTGGGAAGCAATGAATTACGGGATAATTGGCTCTTGCTTCGACCAACCATTCGTCTTTCTGTCTGCCGATATTAGTCATAAATGGGTTTCTGAATTGCATTTGATCAAAGTATCACTACCATCATAGTTTCTTCTTTCTTGTTGTTTTTTAGTTAAGATGGCATACTCTCGTGATTACGTTTGAACGAATGCAGTTTTTGGAATCTGGGACAGCAATGTAGCACTCCATTCGGATTGTATTGCATTGTACCGTATTGTATTGTATTGCATTGCATTGTATTGTATTACATTGTCTTGTATTGTATATTTTATATGGTATTTTATCTTATCGTAACGTATTGTGCTGTACTGTATTACACCACATTGCACAACCTTTTTCATACTGTATAGTTCACTTATCGATGTGTGTAATACTTTTATTTCAATCATAATTTAATGGAAAACAAAAATTCTCCATCGTACAATATTAAAATTTGGCAATCAATGTCCAAGCACGACACAGCCAAGGAAAACTTGCTTAAACAAAAAAATCATTAATCTTTAAAATGATATATGATACATTATGTAACCATAAGCGCTTTTTGTAGGAGCGGTAGAGGGGAGGGGGTGCCGTGTTTTGACCTTTTGACACCCTGTATTAAGTGTAGTGTCATACTCACGGGTACAGATACTGTCTCCCTTGTAAGTGGACCAGGGTCCGACCTTGACCTGACAACAAAACCTCTGTTTTTCAACATCTCAATACGTTTACTTCTCACTTCCTCGGTAGATGCATGTATATCGGACGTATATTTTACTTTCTTAATAACTTTACTTGCTACAACAGTTGGACAATCGACGTTCACAGATTTCTTCGGAGTGCTTGGAGGCTTCCTTTCCTCATTATTTGTATTAAGCTGTCTTTGTTTCTTTCTGATCGTATCCATTGTCTTTGGTCTTATTTCAATGTCCGGTACTTTTGTCGGCTGGTTAGTTGTTTGGGATGACATCATCTCTAACCGTTTTTTCCATCTTGGTTCTTCTACAAGGTCGACAACTATCTCAGGTATAGGTCCCATGCTGGTTGCCATGTTAGTAACTGGTCTTTTGGGCGATAATATGTGTTTCTGTACTACAAGTGGGGTCTCTATTTTCTTTACCAAGTTTATACTTGAAGGCGAATCTTGTGCTTCAAACACATTCTGAATTGTATATAACGCTTATCCTATTTAGCTGATATTGTCCATAGAGAATGTGTCGTAAGAGTTAAGGAATATTATCATAAAGTATTTCAATATCTTTAAGTAACTTGAAACGATTCAAGTGTGTTGGTACTTCTTCGTCCAATGTTTATATGTGTTCAAATATCGCTAAAGTATATCCTTTGGCTCCATTTGTATCCTTGACTTGGTTAAAGGAATCGATGGCAATATCATAAAATGCAATGATATCTTAGAAGAAGTTTAGCTTGTCAAACACATTCAAAAACAGTGTGTTGCTAGATCTAATTTCTCCAGTGTTTCGATGATTCCTTTGGTCGGATTAGTAACAGTGTTGTCGTAGGCGAACAAAGCTAATAACAAGGTAAATTCAAAGAAAACATCAGATTTGCCTTCATTTTCTTAGGACTAGTTTACTTAGTCCACAAACGCTGTTAAAGTGTTTAACATTTCTTTTGACACCCGAAAAGTTTCAAGCATTACTGTTTATTCAATATTTGTACAGTCAAAAGAAATGAGGTGATTGATTCGACACGAATTATCAAGGTCATGATTATCAACTGCAACCTTAAAAATATTATATAATGACTTACACTTGTAGTCAAATAGCAAAGTGACGATAACTCTATTTGAAATAGATTTACTGCGAGTCTTTAATCAGTGGTTCTGCACAATACGACATGATCCAACATTGACCCAGTATATTCAACATTTCATTTAGAATTAAATCAGGAATGGAAACAATAAAAAGGGTTTCTCTTTATCTCTTTAGTGAGGGGACACTTCCCTCTTGGTAGGCCACTAAATCATGGTGTTTCAAACTTGTTAGAATCAGTTTTACCCAATTTGCTAATACTTTGAATAGCCATTCTGTGTTTATACCCTATAGTGTCTTAAAAATAGTAAAACCAAAGTTGACCAACAGGAATTAATATAAAGATAGCTATGTCGAGTACAATCTTTGGGGTCTGAGCTTAGACTCTCGGAAGGGCCAGTGTTTTATTGATGCATGTATTACCTTGACGTTTGTTTTATCTAATATCATGTATCTAGGATCAGGCAATTATTTTGCATCTTACCATATTAAGTAGAGTGCCTTTCCTGGGACCCTCGTGGAAGGTTGGATTTCTTGCTATAGGGGTCGGTCGCACTTTTGCAACATGTATGGTGGCCTCCCTGGCAAATGTGATCTCTCTATTGCCCTTCAATGCAGCCATCTCCACATATGACCTCTTCCTGTTATTATATGTTGTTGCCATGGTGTTTTACAGTGTTCTTTCAACTTCTCATCCAGAACATCTTTTTAGTGCACACACGCGTCGTCAGCTGCAATTTGATATTTTGATCATTTTGATATACAATTTTATATCTTGTTGATTTTAACATAGCTAATGATACTCACAAGGTTTGACATGTCAACGTATTTTGTAAGTCATCGTATAAAACAATATGGACACATTCTTCATTTTCATATTATATGAAGTGATTAATATTTGATCTAACGCTTATGTACTCCACATTTTTCGATAAAGTTTATAAATGGTATCTAGCAACGGTTATAAGGATAAAACAGATAAATAACATACCTTACCCGGCCGTGTACTGTGTCGATTCAACGATGAGTATATTTTGTTTATTTTTATTTTTTAGTTAAAGTGCTTAGTTTAAAAAGAAAACATGTGAATATGCGGTATCGAGCTAGGTTTCAGTGTCATATGTGAAAGAACCCACGGTGTATATTTTGTTATGGTTCAATTCTATTCTAAACAAATCGTGAATGGGAGCAAAATGAACTAAGGCTTATTTGCTTGGATACTGCTTTTCATAAAGTCTGTCAAGTAATTAATCTAATTTAAGTGCAGAAAGCAACATTTCATTACTGTTATTTGATCCGATAAAATTTCTATACGATTACGTCTCGAATTTAATTATTTTCCAAGCCGTTTTTAAAATAGACCAAAAGCAATTTATAAATTGATGGCATTTGAAACGACCTTTGCTTGTCAAAAAGTCGGGATTAAACCCAGTTTCGTTGATTCACTAAAATATGTCTAAAATTATTGGAATAAGGGTCTAAGGGCCAATTTACGATAATTGATATTTCAAAAAATACAAAATTCGAAAATTAAAATATTCATATGACGATGGATTTTTCTTGAATCGTAGAGGAAACACATTATATTTTACAAATTCGTAAGCGGCATCATTGGAACTATATTGGCATTTCGTAACCTGAGCAATTTTCAAAGGAATAAAAAATTAACATATTTTCGTTAATCGTTCAATATTAAAGTCTGGTTTAATTTCAAATAAGATATTATTTATCACATTTGTGTGTGCCAAACAAACAAAAAACATGTTTCCTTGGATATTAGTACTGAATTGTAAAAATAAAAAATAAAATAGAGTCAACGTTATCGTTTGGAATTATTAGCCGCAAATTATTTTGAACGACCCCTATGTCGAAAGCGATAACTTAAGAAATGGGCAAGATACGTTCATACACTTTTACATGTACAGTTTTTCTCAGATGCCCTCACTATAGGAGAAAGTTTGTGGCTTCATTTAATATACTGTATACACGCAGCGTAGGCAACAAGGGAATGAGAAACATCATTCAAAGTTGTATGGTTATGTGTCGGTCATGGAAATAAAAAGAAAGCATAGCATGTTGAATAGAGATGTAAAGGTTACAAGCATCGCTATTCCCACAAAGTTATAACAGGATCACATGTGAAACTGAGAGTGAAATATATTGTTTCTTGGTTTGGCAATGACTCATTCTTTGCTGTAATTTAAATATAAACATAAAAATATGAATACAACTAACTTTTGATTGTATGTTTATATTTCACATAATTTCAAAGTCATTTTGTATCCTCCAACACATGCTTGATAAAGTTTTACAAAAACAATTCAAATAATTCAAAAATTAAATAATGATGATCTAAACACTTTTATTAGGTACTTCAATTTCTCAAAATAATAATCTAAAAACAAATTCTCCTAAAGATGATATTTTAATGTTTGGAGGATACAAAATATTGGACAGCCTCTCATCTAGACAACTTGAATCCACGACAGAAATACTATACTATACCTACACTCAATATCCCAGATGCAACAAAACCACAAAAAGTGAAATATATTTTCTTGTGTTGGGCAGATAATATTTTCTTTTACTGGACATATTTTAATTTGTATAACTATCAGATGCATAAGGGTAATATGACAAGTGAACCACTAAAACTGATGCATATTCAAGTTTAAGGGAATTTTGTAATACCCTGCCATGTTAATTCCCCCGAATCAGCCACCTGGTGGCGAAACTGGTAACTACTTACTCGCATCTGAGTAATTATATTTCTCCATTGTATGCAATCGAAGACATGTCATCAAAATGTACCTTGTGGCATAGCTTTCACCAAAATAATGCATCAATAGTGTATATTAATATGGCCGATGTGTTGGAGGATACAAATATTTGACAAATCGTATTATTTAATTATGTGACTAAGACATATCAAACATCCCGCTTTCAAGAGTTGGTAGCACATTCATTTTATTAACATGCTCAAAAATATCAACGCAATCGATACATTTTATGTTAAGAAATCCGAGTTTATATTTGTCGAAAAAATAAAATATTTCTTAATTGTCTAAAAATCCATCATTAAAGTGATATTTTTTAAAAAGATGAGCAATATTCCAAACAGGTACCTTATGGTAACGATTGCTTAAAGTCTGGTCAACAAAAAATAACACACTGTATGTCCATGAAATCAATATATATGTAGCAGTCTCTAGTACAACAACAGATTTTTGAAATATCAATTATCGTAAATTGTCCCCTAAGGAAGATTTTGAAAAAATCATTAACGTGAATTAACAGACTATAATATCTATCCAATGGTAGTCAGGATTTTCGTCTGACTTTTGGAGGCTAAGGGAGTGAATATGTTGTGATTGATTATCCAGTTTCAATGGTGACATCTGCCATTTGATTAGCGACATCTTTGGATCCTTCCCCCAGACCAAGGAGGATTGGCTCCCAGAATGCAACACCGATATTCTGCAAAACAATCACCTAGCGATAGCTTTGTTGGAGAGTATCGGGTCATTCTCCATGCAGTCGTACAAATTATACAGACACGAATAGCAAATGACGCATGCGTGGAGATTAAAGAATATCGAGTTGGAACCCTGGCTTCCAATCCTCCTTGCCCCAGACTATTCTTAGTAGTTCTTTTGCCGATTAAGACTGCCATCTTTCTATATTATTTGAATTACATCTCTGTAATATTTGATTCAATTTAAATTCCCTCAAAGTAAAACATTGCATGGTTTAACCATTTGGTTAAAAGATTCCAGCTTTGATTTTACTTGCTTCACAAATTTTAATTATGTAGAGGGAGCTTCCGCAATTTCTTCAATTCCTTATTTGGTGTGTCTGAAAACATTCGGAAATTCAAAATAATTTATCGGTTTCTTGGCTAAATGTTATCAGTATTGGGCCATTTAATCAATATTTTACCCATGCATTTTTATTATTTGAAACAAGTTCGAATCTGGTCTTAAAAAGAGAGAAAAACATGTTTGTGTGCGATTTTTACCATTCTTTGCTCTTGACTATGGCTTTTAAAATTAACGAATTGGGAGTCTAAATCAGCTTAAGTTCTTCCAGATCATTGTTGAATTATCGAGTTTTATGGGTTACGATTGTGGCTTTGCGAAGGAAAGTTAAGTTTTTAACGCTTTCCATTTTTTGGTCTTTTTAGACTGTATAATTGATTTTTCTTCAACGTGATTCATGTAAATCCGTGCCTTGATGGCATGGGCCTAGAACACATGAAGATGAAGTTCTCTATATTATAAGAAGCGAATTAAGTGTTCCAAATGGTAGTTAATCTGTTGTACCCAAAGGCTAATCGCTTATATACTAAGTACATTAACCACAGTGTGAAGTGGGGGAAACATAATCCGGAACAAGATTGTATATAACTTGAATTTCGGTAATAGATATAGATAATCCTTCAGACAATTTATAAAGTAATCCAATGAAAATACATTGTTGTGGAGGCTATTAACGCACTAATCCTTAACGTTTTCAATTTGTTTCACCATACATTAACATAAGTCTACCTCGCGATTGTAATTTCCCCATTCTAGTCGAATCGGCATTTAAGAATCATTGCTACTTCTGGATAAGTTAATAGAGAATTGAATCATACTTTTGTACAAAACCGTTGTTGTATATCAATAAAACATTCATACATGTATCATCCAATGAAATGTTCATTCTTTTATTGCCCTGTGACTTACTGTTCAAGGTCACTCGAATACTTTGCTTGATTTCACAAAGGCGATTATTTATTGAATTTCGGATAAACCGATCAAGCAAGAATGTAAAACAAAATCATGCATGCTGCAACATTACATTCTTTTATACAAGAAAAAGTGATGTGGTACAAAAGTGCTGTTGGTTATATCCAATTTATGTTAAGTAATATACATAGAATACAATGTTCAGGCCAAACTCCGAAATTCAAACTTCATCTATAAGAATAGTATATTGTGAAAGGTTTGAAGGCAAATGATGGAAACGTTAGAACATTGGGCATTAAAGATTGAAATGTGGGTCTGATAGATTGAATAGAGTAGAATTGAAAACATAAATTGTTGTGTTGGAATAATGCCTATGATTGTCAAGGCTTGAACGTGATATGTCGACAAATGGTGAGAGGAAATCAAGAAAAGAAAAAATTGTTCGCCAAAATGGGAACAACGACAGAAAAAGGGATACTAAATCTCAAATTAAACAGTCTAATAAGCTCGACATGAAGGTGAAAACGAAAGGCAAGGAAAAGCGTGAAAAATCCAAACAAAGAACTGTCCCTACTATTGATTCGGAAGACAAAACGTACGATGCAGACAAGAATGAATTTAAGGAAACTAAATTTCCGCCGCTTGAATGGGTAATTATTCAATCATAAAATACAACACCCCAAGAAGCTTGAAATGACCGAAATTTACGTGTTATTTGAGAACATCTAAAAACTCATATACCAAGTTTTGAATTCAAAATCTCCTATATCTAGTTTCAAATTCACACACAAGCATCATATTTTACTTAAAGATGGTGTATTTCTGTTTTAAAATTTGAATTATGTAATTTATTTACACCCCAGTCACATTTGTCGCACGGCGGCCGCAAGTCGGCCGCAGATCAATAGTATAGTTTCCATATAGCTTTTGAAATCTCGCTAAATCTCGTTTTTCGTGAGATTTTAAGAGACTTGCATATTAGACCTCTAATGACTTACATTACCTTCTTTTAAATGGTATATTTGAATTCAGTGGAATGTTTTCTCCTAAAATAGCTTTGATTTACACAGTTATGTAATTTGAATAATTTTCTATGACAATTTAAAAAAAGTTGGGCCAAATGTCCATAGATGCAATGCTAAAATTCTTTAAAACCGTGGATTATTTGTATGTCAATCAACATTAGCATGTTTAATCACAACATGTTCATAAACAGGGTCATCATGTGGTATATCATTCAAGTTTTATACAGATTCAACAAACACACTTTGATAAATCATGAAATTAAGCCACTTTTCCAAGATTTTAGCATGTAAGTGAATGGGGCTCTAGCCAGAGTTAAAAGCTGAATAAAAGATGGCAGCACGAGATTTCATTGATTTTTCTGCTATTTAGAAACTATCCTATTAAATCGGTGAATTTCTGCGGCGAGCGTAGAAGAACTACGCTCGCCTTGCGGCCTCCGTACGGCGTATCCAGTTTTTTACAGGCCGCAGGGTCGCCGTAGAAATTATAACTCGGAGTTATAATATTTGTTCATTTCTGAGGTCCCCGTAGAAATCAACTGGCTCAACAAGATTCAATCATTATTTGTCAATGTTTCACGATCACTTTTCATTTGATATTACATCCTAGCACTATGAATAACATTTATAAATTGTCCTGATGTAAATAAAATGAAAAAAAGTATTATTTATCAACAGAAATTTAAAATTCACCGTGCGGCTGCCGTGGGAAATGTGACTGCAAAAGTATGAGAGCGCAGAAATTCTGCGGCGAGCGTAGAAAAGCAACTGGCCGCAGAAATGATAGACCGCACGGCGGACGCAGGAAATGTGACTGGGGTGTTAGGGGCTGGGTTAAGTGACTGCGTATTCATTGTTTTCGAGCGTTGCCAATTGTTTTCATTGTTTTCATTGTTTTTAATGTTTTCCAGGAACATTCACTTATTGGTAGAAATAAGAGAACAGTGAGTGAATCGGGTGAGTTAGTTTGCAAAGAAGACCTACTTGCGGTTCCATTCACAAGAGTGAGGCGGCACAGTTCAGCGTCCCCGGTTAGATCAATTGTTGATCTGGACGATAGCAGCGATGACATGATTGATATTTCTGAAGAGATCAGTAAGCGGCTGAGAGAGATCTGCCAAAGGAGACGGTGTTCGGAAACAAGACAGTAAGGGGTTTAATACTTTTACTCTTCCCGCTGGTGGTTTTACTATTTTAGCTCATTAATAACTGAAAATGATTTTATAATTTTTTTGATTAATGTCGGTCAGTGCGAGATTCAACTTCCATACAAAATACTTCTTGGCACTTTTTAACAGTCAATCATTTCACCCTTTTCATTGATATACCTTTTTACTTTTTAGAAAGGACTTTGAAGATAGACAAGAACAACTGGCAAATCGTTGTAGAAAATTGGAACGGCGAAGGAGTGATCGAGTTGCAAATTTCTTTGCTAATATAACAGAACAAAATGACTCAAAATGATTTACATAGTCCCAATCTTGAAAAGTGTACATCGTGACATTTTGCATATGAACGACATTATATTCAGTGTAGAATTTCGATATCGTCACCATGCCAGTAAAGGCTAGGAAATCAGCATCATTAAACTGTGCATTGTGGATTGTGTAATCTTTCTTTGGTTACCGAAAGTAAAACAAAGTTGATTCATCTTATGGCCTAATAAAAATGGGTTCAGAGCAGAGACATTAAACCGAAGCTACTTCATAGCACTTTCCCATACGCTCTTCTTAACTTCTTCGAGTCATTAGAAAATACTTTATTTGCTTCTAAAACCAATAAACAATAATTATGAATTATTTATGAATTTACACAGAAATGAATTTACACACAAAAAATTAAAACGTTTACACATGTAAAAACAATGCCCAAGGATAGGAAACAGAGAAATGCCAAAATCACATTTGATCTACGTCAATCGTACGGCGGTCGTAGCTAAACAAAATCTATAGATATTTACAGCATGAAATACAGGGATAAGGACTGCGATGTAGATTTTCTAAATCGATTTTGAGAAGCTACGATCGCTGCAGTTTTGCCGTAGATCAAATGTGACTGAGGTATTAGGAAATGAGCATCAGGGAAGAGAGCAAATGTATCAATAAGGCAACGTTTACCACCTAGTCTTCACATGTTAGACATATAACGACATTTCCCTACCGTCAGACACGACACCCTTTGATGCTCTCCAAAGTTAATTAACCATTTCAGTCATACTAAAGACATCACGATAAATATTGAAGAAAATCTGATGAGTAGGGGAAATGTCAAACAATTTTTGCAAAAACTGTTTGAGCGAAACCACTCGTAAGGGTAAAATTCCCAATACCTCATACTATGATCCCCTGCATAAACAATCTGGTTGGCCGCTAGGCAACATCATCATATAGCCTCAAATGGTCAGTTCCATATACCCAACTTGTGAATTTTAATTAAATATAAAATAAAAGTATTGACACGCAACACGAAGTTGTTTAGTTTCAATTCATAACGAGCAGCTGGGGAGTGACACAAATAAACAATTTGTCGTTGATATTAGTATTTATGCAAGATTAAACCTCAAATGATTTCGGACAAACAACATTTATTAGCGTTAATATCTACTAACTGTCATTGTATTTTTAATTATTTTTATTTTTTAATAATCATAGAAATTACCATTTTAATTTATTGTGAGCTGTTGATATGAAAAAGAAGAAAAATCCATTTTGTGAACACATTTGGAAGATGTTGTTGAAATCTAAAAGAATCGTATTTGATGCGAGTACATACATGTTACTAAAATTGGGACAGGTCAAACAGTCTGACAAAATACACTTTGTAATTATAAAACATAAAAGAGCGTAACAAGTTACAAGGAAAATACCGTACGTCCCCAACATCCCAAACTGTGATCTCACAAAAAAATCAAAACAGTCAGAGATAGTTGTTTTGATGAATATAGGGTATTTAGCATTCTCATACTATGTGGCGCAGACCAAATTCGGACTCGACCTCTATAAGAGAATCAGAACCAAAGCGCAACAACCATTCGCAAAGATGAAACTGCAATAAGCAAAAGAAAAAAAGATCTTTAGAAACCACGACTATTTCCGATCTCTATTCCCCAACCATAAATGCTATGTTATGCAATATAGATAGCATAAGGTTAGAAAATTGTCCATTTAAAGATAAAGTCTCGCTTCAGGAAGCTGCACTTTCTACTCTAACCTGTTGTTGTTTGGATAGCGAGTAAGGTCTAGTCTTGAAGCAAGGTTGATTTGAAGGTAATCTATGGAATGCCACTTCACCATACCTATTTTACTAGAATGACAAAACTACAGGGTGTTCCTCCAAAAATCGTACCGAGACAAATAGGAATAAATCTGTGACTGATATAGTTTTAGAGAAAAGATTGTATTAGTACTATCACCCATTTTTTTCATGTTTTGTGTCCAAAATTATAAAATAGCTCTGTGAGTAATAAGAAATATTCTTGAAATTTGGTCATCTGACAGACAAATTAATTATCATTTATATCCAAAAGTACCTTTTTATTTTAAAGAAAAGCTCGTATAGCACCATCAACATTTTTTCCATATATTGGGCATTGCACTGCATAAATCGTGATGTAGGTCATTTAGAGCATGCCATCTAAAATAACTAATTTATATGTTTCTATGAAATTCTTTACTTCTAATAAGACAATAATTTATTTCTTATCAATGTGCAAAGTTCAGATTTTTATGAAGGAAAAATAGTTATTCATGTTTCATTTTGGGTACAACATGAATATAACAGTATGTGATAGCGTACAAAGCATTTTTGGAACCGTACCACTAGTGCGTAGGAATTGACTGCCTGGCAACATCAATCAATGTCACATAACAATTGCTAAATTGGTAAATACTACACGCTGCATTGATTTAATTTTTGTTTTGTAAAGATAAAAGAGTTTTTTTGAAAATATAATATCTCACAAAGGTGTGAACGATGATTATATTCGTGACGTTTTCAATCAATTTACAAATATATACATCATTGTAGTCTATTCAGCAAATCTATATATTAATTAAGCTCAATCTTGCGTGAGAATTTCCAATGAATAAACATTATAAAAGTTTGTTAACTAAAACTATTGTATATGGCTTTGATGTTTAGTTGACGACAACACCAATAATAGAGAACATTAAAAGTGAGTGCTTTTTATTGTAAGTAGTGCTACTTTTTGTGACAATACTTAATTTTTGTAAAAATGCTTTTAGTGATGAATACTGCTTGTGTTATCAGAAACATAACAATTGAATAAGTAAACAAGGATTGATTGGTCGTTTTCTGCTTGTTATTATTTGAATTCCAAAATGCAAAATATCTTCAATATATCTAAAATCAAAAATAAATTAATGTATATAAGAATATGTAAGTGCTAATAAGAGAAATTCAAATTAAAGAATTTGGAATAGTCAAAAAAAATTCAAAGATGGTCATTCAATAGACAACAAACCCATCATATTTAGAACAATGATCCATTTTGATAATTTTTTATTTTCCTTCGGATATTTACACTTAATGGCTAGGCGATTGGGCGCCGTAACCACGAGGTTGCGAGTTCGAGACGCGGTGTGCTCCGTGCGTTTATTCATTTATATCAAAGGAATTATTCGTAAAACGTGTCTTAGTCATTGATCAACCCTCGTATAGAATAGAACATTGCCTGCTTGTACTGAGTAGCATTGGATATCAATGACACTTGTTGGACTTCTGTCAATCGATTGATTAATTCTCATTTACGACTGAAGTATACTTAAACATATTCAATAATCATATTTTAATCATGATTTATTTGATTGGTGGAAATGTTTTACTACACAAACGAATTCTTGTTTGACAGTACAAGGTCAGTGGACAGTATGTTTACATGTATGCCTACATCTACGATGGCTTTGTTATATGCCAATACATATCAACGCAGATTAATCGTATTAGTGCACCTTGGGGAGATCCTTTTAAGTCCATCAATTGAAGTCTTCAACGTCATCTAAAAGGGGAAATGAACGAATCTGCATGCATCCTCCGATATATTTTACATATTTGCATATTTCACCATGCCATTTTCAGTGTTTCTTAGACCAACTTGCATAGTCTACAACTACCGACTATTCACAATACATTATTTTTGCATTAGCCCTATATACTATGTAAATCTTAAGATCACCGACAATCCCCTCCCTCTACGAATTACAGTATTAGTATCTAATGTATGTGTTGTTTTACACTGATATGCGTTAACCATGGTGATTGTGCTAAATCAATGGAAATGCCATTGGAATGTAAATGAAAGATGATATATATCGAGCTACTTGCAATTGCTTTGCATTAATCTTGGGATAGTAGTAAATAATACCTATTCGTTCATGATTTCAGTATGTCGTCATTTTATTGTAAGTCCAAGTTTGCCGAGTTGTTGTATTTTAATTCTTGAAATCTAAATATATAAATTTCTAATGCATCTCACATTATAGTATAATCTAAAAGACTTTGGGAATGTTTAAATATCGTTGGTATCACCTGTTCTTTGGATTTCATTTATCCAAGCAGATTAAAGCGCTTATAATTAATTATGAAATAAGTTAAATCCAGGAAGAGTGGACGCAGATTACATGCTTTTATCACGGGTGTTCAGCCACGATGATACCATGAGCACATGCTTTGAGGACCCGCGTTGTTTGAACCTACCCCCGAGCTCACTTATACATTAAGACCCGTTACACAGTCATGATACCGCCGAGCAAGCTCATTGCATCATCGGGTCTGCTTTACCCCGTGTTTATGCAGAGTACATGCATGTCTTTTAATAGGCTAAAGATATGCAAAAATGAATAGCCTTGTCTGAGTATACAATTGTTGTCTTTATTTTGCAATTTTGGTAGGATCGTAAGTAATTTATTTAATTCAATCAAGTTGGTTTTACCTTATCAATATATTTCAAAACAATAAATTCAAACATGTTTTCTTCGATCAAGTTTCTGGTTCATTCGTCACGCAATGTGAATGTTATATTACACAATTGTTTGGCTGAAAAATCGTTCTGGAGAAAAACATTTTATCTTCTTCCAGAATAACAAATATAAGATGAAAATAAATTTCGACAAATATTAGTGATAGATAGTACATTATTAATCCAATTAATTTAAATCTACCCTAAAAGGAACATGATTTACCATTGCTACATCTCACCTCGGGGTCAGTCAAAACTTAATAACTAATCACTATACTTTACGAACTTGATCGAATTTACACTTTCCACTGGCACGTCTTACGATTCTGTCGCTGCATTAAAATTAAAGTATGTGGCTGTGAACGAACTTTTCAGTCTATTATGCAGAACCGTATGTGGCGACATACATGACATAATGGATTCCCTGTGACAAGCTTACATGACGTGTATAATGCTTAGGATTCATTTGAAATATCTGTCAATTTAGTTTCAAAAAGATTCTTAAACTATTTCCAGGCGATTGTGCATTTTAGATAAAACAGAGTAAAGTAAACATGAAATATACCAAGCGACCCATGACGACATAAAGAAGTGTTGTGAATGATTTACAGGTTCTGAGGATTTCAGGGATCATACGGATCACTGGCATTGTACTATTGATTATGCCATTATTGTCATGAATGTGTTTACTAATTAAGGATTACATTTACATTCATTCGGAATATATAAATAGTTTTTCTTCAGTTTGTCTATTGTTAAATCATTTAATTGACCACTTGAAGGACACGAAAGGTAAGAATAAGACGTTTATTTTTTAAACTTTTAATTAATTTAAATTTTTTGGATGATCTCGTCCGTGAACTTGGTAATTACTGTTAAAATCGTTCAAATCATGTTTTAAGAGTGAACTTACACTTATTAATACTAATTAAAAGTCATAGTCAATTTTTATAATATTTGTTTGTGCTATTTGATATGATTTAATTTTGATATTAGAGTCAATGAAGCATCCAGTGAACATAGGCTGATTAAACATGGACGTGTTAATTGCTTAAATAAATGTACTGATTTTTTATTAAGACAGATTTCCTTAAAAACTGACATTTACTTAATATGCTTTGGTTAATTCTGTCGTATTCCTTTTTTAATATAAGTGCACGAATGTATTGTACAGCGTTACGGTCCGATAAACACATGTGCACAGAATGAGAGTTTTTAATTTCTAGTTTTCACGAATTGTTTTTTGTGAAGGTAATAAACAAATATTTAACGAGTCTCTAAAAATATGCATATTGCTGAACATATGTCTCTACATATGTATATATTGCCGGACATTATAGATTTATTTTGCCGGACAATGCTTTAGTGGATTTCGCCGGACATTGCAGATGAATATTACCGGAAATAGATTGCGCATCAAAAACGCAACAAACAGACAAATAGTAAAACTGGTATACCCATTGTAATAAAGGAACGCGTATTCAGCCAACCATGACCACGTGTGAATAAATGACATTTTACAGAAAAGATGAGAAATTTGGCGTTAATGGTACATTGAGGAAAAAGATGCAGTCATCACTGTTTTTTGGTTCAATAGTATTTGTTTGTTGCATATTTTGAGAGGGACTGTATAACTGCATCATGCATCGCAATATGAGAGTGAATCTAAAATTGAGGGTTAATCGGATTCAAGTGTACCCCTTTGTTCCTATTCATAGTTGAAGCTAGTTGTTGGGTCGTTATAGCCTTTTTATCTTTCTTTTATATGGAAACTGTCCTGTCCAAGAACTTTAACATAGTCCAAGTCTATCGGTTGATCACACGACTACCTGTGTGCACTTCCCAATTTACCATCAACCTTTGAGACGACTCCCAAATAGCTAAAATACCTCTCATATTATCAATTAAAACACAATATCAGAAATCTTTATTATGAAATCATTTTACCCGAAGAATTCAAAATTGCAAAGTGAAATGATATATGATAGGCAGACATAACTGAATCAACGCATATTTACACAATACAAAACCATGACAATATGTCGTCATGAGAAAGATTAACAATATGAAATATTTATACTTAATTAAATAAGCTAACACAAATCAACAGATTATAGTTTCTGTATTAACTCTATTTGCCATTCAGTTTGTTATAGGTAACTGGTAATACGATAGTTTTCTATTAATTTTCTCAAGTTCATAAGATTATTTAATAACTGAGAAGAATTCAACACTCGACGTCAGGCTAGTTTGGGACAAGAACTAAAATTACATTTATAAAAGAATAGAAATCCATGAGACCAATGAGAATTATTTTATTGGATCGGTTTTTATCGTTATTTCATCAATACAAATTTTAATGTAAAATCATTTTCAGGAACGTGCTGGTAACCATGGAAATGTTGGCAATCTGTCTGCTATGCTTCATCGGTAGCACCATAGCAACCCGTGAAGGAACTGCCTCTATTCTTACAGCTAAGTGTGACGAGGAATACCAAGCAGCGACACAGGACATCCTTGCAATGGCAGATGCCGTGAGTTTTAGAACAGCGTTTTTCTCTACAATCTTTCAAGCATTCGACGAGAATTAATAATGCACGAATGGCAACGTTAGAAATCACAAAACAATTGCATATTTTGTAAAGAGAATTTTCTCGATCAACGATGGACGTTCCTAACGTCTCGGGGTTTTATCTAGATCCCTCATATAAAAGGGGACAAGGGGAATATTTCACAATCAAGAATAATGCTCAATAACTCTATTGATGAATCGATGATTAATTAAAACCAATATATACCCAAGGCCCGAGAGAGAGTAAATGAGGAATTGGGAGGTCCTACTAAAATGTTCCTTGGCAAAGTATTCCTACAACGACAAGAAGGTGGCGCCACACTAACTGTGATTAAGGTAAAACTAAATATGAAGATAAATATTATACAAATATTGAATTCTGTGGAGTTGAATATCTGTATATATTTCTGAAGGTGTATTCACCGCAGCCCGAAGTGCTATATTGTTTTATTATTTCCTCAGAAGTTTCAACGTATTTCCAAACGTTTGCCAATATTCTGTTATAAATCACGATCTCTGTCACACCATGATATATAAAAATTAGATTTGGATCTTCCATGTTAAAGTTCATAGTCTTCGTGCTTTCATTAGTTGACATTTTGAAAACATTTGTAAAATCTTTATCCCACGTTTGTTATATAGTATTGAACCTTTTCTTGGGAGGACTTCGTGATACAACTTCACCGTCTGTCATATCGGATGAAAATACTTTTTAAGAAATTCCCGGGAATTCAGTGATATGACGTCATTTTTAGTGAATACCACTATTTATTCAATTAAAATGACGTCATTTTTAGTGAATACACTCTTCACACTTTTTCTAAGCAGGGAGACAAGGAATACCTCTATATATTTTTAGTCACATGATATCTAATTGACCAATGAGAGAACGAGTATCACGGCATGGAAATAATAACACGTATTATTATATCACTATCTAGCTAGCGACAGTATGATTGGTCAAAACCGGGTCACATGTCGTGGGATATCTGGCGATATTCAATGGCAATGCTAATCAGATAAGACAACCGTGAGATATCTAGCGATATCCCACGCTCCCGGGAATTTTCAAAGAATTTGTTTTCGTTCAGTGTAAATAATTTAGTTCAGTTTAAGTCAAAATGGCAGACGAACCGAGTAGATTCGTAAAAATATCTGAAGACTTAATGACTTAATAATATTAGGGATGTTTAGCTAGACAGTGATATAATAAAACAAATATTTCACTCTATTTTCGGTGAATACCTGTAGCACTTTCACAAGGTGATATTCCACTTGCCCTTCGGGCTTCGTGGAATATCATTTGTGAAAGATGTACAGGTATTCACCTCAATAGAGTGAAATATTTGTTCAGTATTGAATCAAATACGATCAAATGTACGGATTCGAAACCGACAAATCAATTTTGTACTTTTGATCAAATACATAATGTATACATTATATATATTATCCTACACTTAGTGTACTAAATGTATAATAACATGAAAAAATAAATTTGATATTTAAAATATATATTAAAAATGAATATCCGGAGGATATCGTAACGATATACTCCGGACGGAAGATATCGTGACGATATACTCCGGAAAACCCAATATGCGGAGGATATTGTGACGATATAATCCGCTTGTTGATTTCCCGCCAAATTGACTCTATTTGGCATGGAATTAATTTTACAATGATATTATACATTCAGTACACTCCTTGTAAGTGTAGGATAATAAGAACATCCTATGATTTTTTTCAGATATCATTTTAATCTACTCGGTGATATTGATATATGCACTCGTTCGCTTCGCTCTCTCGTGCAGATATCAATATCACCTCGTAGATAAAAATGATATTCCTCAAAATCATAGGATATCCTATAAATATGTTGATTATTGCAAACACTATATAAAAAACAACATAAGCATACACGCGTAAAGTTTTATCAGAAATGAAATTCGGATGAAACAGATATTTGCAGTTATTGTTTAGATTGAGGTATATTTTTTTCCACTCGCCAATACCAATATTAACAACCAATAATTTATAAAGATCGTATATACCAAACGATATATCATTAGATATATAGAAATCAAATAAGTTTCCAATAGCATACGTATTTTATATCTGGTTTTGTACAGATTAAAATCCGCCATGGTCCACCAAGAGACAACACTGGGAGATATATACATCTCTACCTTCTCGACGGTGGTTTTCTGGATGTGCAAGTCGGTAAAAAACGAAAGGATTGCTTCGGTGATATTAGTAGGTGGATTTTCATTAATATTACTTCTTCGAGACAGTTTTGATTTTTTGATTATTTATCTAAATACAATATGGATTATATAAAATGGGGTAATTAAGTAATGTAAACACAGGGGCTGTACCAAATTAAGAGTGACTGTTAAACGCGCGGAGGTAAGGTACAACTCGAGGGTGATTAGATTTGAGCAAACTGATGTTTTCATTGTTTCAGAAAGATCTGGCCTAGTTTCTAAATATTTTCATATGTTAATGTCTGTAACAATATACTCGACAGTGAACTTTACAGTAAATTTCGAAGTTGTCCCACATCCTTTTGGTGAAGGTCTATAAGATATGATATGGATAATATCATGAAAGGAACATAGTTGAAGGAATACCCCACGATTTTGTAAAATATCACTAATATCCTCTGGCTGATGGAAATAACCGAAAGATAGCAGGCCCGTAGCCACGGGGGGGGGGGGGGTTCGAGCAAACCCTTCTGAGCATATTTCAAGTGGTTTTGGCAATACTTGGACCAAAGTTGTCAAAAGTGAACCCCCCTGGAATTTCTGAAAAAGTGAACCCCCTGGGCAAATTCTAGCTACGGGCCTAGAGTAATACGATCAGAGAATGCTATAACTATAACAATTCATTATTCAGTGATATTTATTCAATTGTGACTTGTTTTCCATATGACATGTATTTATTAAAAAACTATTGTCATACAGAAGAACATGAATATCAAATGGGATTTGTGTTTTGCACTATTAGATAAGTTTTATGGATGAATAGTTGATATTTATTGATGGAGTATACTTTCTACAAATGTGATTACTTGGGAGTTATATGGCGAGCTATTCAGAATATATGCAGAAATATAGTTAAATGAAAATTTTGAGATGTTTCGAAAAGGTTCCTCTTAGAGTATTTAAATCTAAAACCTCCTAGTATGTTACTGTCATGTATTTATATATTTTGATTCAAGATATCGGTCTCCCAGATGAACCGAGCAATGATGAAGTCAAGCCAATCTTTGTGGAAGTAATTAATGAGATTTGTGGGAACGGACTTGACCCAGTTGAGTACAAACTTGTTCAAGATGATGAGGACGTTCTGGCAATAGCTAAAATGGTTAGTAATTGTTTAAGAACACTTTTATAATAATATCACATTATCGAAGTACACATTTGAGAGTAACAAGCGTTCTCATATTAATTTACATTTTGCTGACATCGATACACCCCCTCTATAAGTCGATACACCCCCTCCATAAATCTGGCAATCACAAGTCCTTTTTGAATCACTTACCAAAACCTGTTTATGTTAAAAATCATAAATTTATAGTAAAAAGCAACAAAATTTAAATAGTTTGGTATGCTATCCATTGGCAAAGGATTTGTAGCGATATGGTGAAAACACATTTTTTCTCTTAAACCAGTTTTCAAAAAGATTCTGAAACAAATGACACACCATCAATGTAATGGTCATATTTTTAATAATAACAATCTAATTCGAAAATATATATCTACTAGATATAATATCTAGTGTCCTAAAAATAAAATAAAACGTACAATTTGATTTTATCTATTTTGGATGGTATTTATTTTTTATTTTTCTAGATACTCTTTTTAAAACGAGCCAATCTTCCCTTTGTGTAACTGCAGTATTGAGAGATCTAATTGCACTGTGTATATGCCATTATTGTTCCAACAAGGTTCGGATAGATACAGTAACTTTATTTCATTCTCGATCCAGAATTGGTCGAAAAAAGAAGCAATTGCACTAAAAACAAATATAGTTTACCCCAAAAATTGCATACACAATTAATTTTCACATACAATTGTTGTCAATCGGTGACCATTATACAGGATGTGTTAAACAGAATGTTTTCAATGAATGGGTTAATAGAAAAACAATGTTGAATTTAGTTCACCATATCGCTACCAATCCTTTAAATAAGCAAGGCTTAATTAAGAGAATATAACTACAATACTTCGTAACACCGTTGTCACAGACCACGACAGCTGAAAATCTGTTTCGACAAAAGATTGTGAAATCATGGAGACAGTTGCCTTGTTGCCATTACTTTGTCAGCTGAAGTAACGTGTTTGCCTACAAATTCATAAACTATATAATACATCAAGTTTATCCATCCTTAGGCAAGGCCAAGCTATGAAGAGGAATACGGGGAACAAGCCAAGTGGGACTCCAGTGTTTACATCCAGTCAGGAATGGATTACGCCATAAAGGTATGGCCTCAAACATAATTCGAAATGTACCATTGGTAAAACATCATGAAACCAAGAATACTTATGAGCTATAGAATATTGTACACGACTTAGAATGAAATCATATAAAAATCTATAAAAAATGCGGACATATACCTTAAAATAAAATATTGCGCCGAGTACATTGCGATTGGTTTGTTTGATCATGCTTCAGATCAGAGTTAGGAAAATGAAAAGAGACGAGAAAGGCTTCATTCACATATTTGTAAACTCTAATGGTGATTTCGTCAGACGTCAGGAAGAAGAAGATGGAAGTCCATACTTTGGTAGAAAGGCCTGTATCGAAATACCACCACCAAGGGGTAAGCGACAGATAGATGTTAAAATTACAGTGATCCAAAATCTCGAAATCTCAAACTTATTCAATTGACCTGATTATATTTAAAAAGGAAAACGATGCAATTAGGTCATTGTTTATCATATTCAATGTCTTTCTACCATAGTTCTAAATACATCATCAGTCCTTACTTGTTCTGTAGCAATTAAGCCTCGTGTTCTACCATTCTCCTTTATCATACAAACAATGTCTTACAAGAAATCACCACATCTATCTGCTCTTGTAAGCGCCACCTATTAGTCACCGCCCATAAAGCCAACAGCACAGTGTGAGCCCCCATGTAGTGGCATTTTTTTATTTTACGCACTAGTTTAATTAGATTATTGATAATTGATTTGTTCAACTTAAAGCTGCATCTCTTGTTAACTCATTGTAGATGCCCCTGAATTAGGAGAACAAAAGTTTGCAATTGAAATGACGGAACGTTGTGATAGACAATACTTCAAAGTTGTTGGAGAACTCTGGGACAACATCAAAGCGGTAATAATTAATGTACTTAATGATGCTGAACATTCATGTGAAACATTTCTAAATTGAATAGTTTTTGCAGAAGTCTATTAATCGATATATTCGAACATTTATGTGAAACAATCTATTTTGATTAATTTTTCTTTGCTGTTATTCATCACTCGATTTCATTTTCAAGAGAAACATTCGCGACGCCCCAGCCTCGACATAAGAATGAATATGCTGTGCTGAATCCAGATAAAATACTTCCTTATATCCCAATTTCTGTTCTGTTCTTCTCGATCGATAAAGGAGGTATTGCAAATTGACTAAATGAATATATACATTGGTTATGGAATGATTTATAGTAGAACTTCTTTTGATATTATATCAGATAAAGGAAACAATAGCAGCAGATTTGGGAAGTCCAAATACCAAATTCCAGCCTCGTATATACATCCAAGAGGGAGACGACATATTCATGAAGGTAAACGTTTATCAAGGTCAATGTATGGTCGGTACAAACAGTGCATGGCTGAGTAGAAAGGCAATTGCATATTGTGTAAAAAATCAATGTATGGTTGAGTATAAAGTCAATGTATGATAGAGTACAAAGTCAATGTATGATTGAGCATAAAGTCAGGGTACAGGGTCATCGTTACACATTAGAGTGTACAATATATATATTAATGCACTGTTTAGTTCCATGGCCTCGGGATTAGCGAATTATCCTGAACCGACTATAGGATGATCTGTTTATCCCACACCAATCTTGGTCATCTGGTTCACATTGTTCAATTTGTTCAGAAAATTTCCAACCAACCGTGGAAATATTTTAGAATATTCATGTTCAGTTTTGTTTTCTTGGCCATGGCCGGATTTCCCTGTTCTTTCAGATATTCGCACATTTATTTTTCTGATTTTTTGATTATTAACAGGATGCTCCTTCCCTTCTTTAAACCATCAAACAGATCGCGATTGTCTGCGTTTTTCTCCATTGTCGTTTAGACACTGGTGATCCGCTCGATTACGCTGGTTACCGAAACGTTTCGGTAACAAAATGTCGGAACGTCGAAGGTACGATTTTGTTTTTTCCTTATTTCACGCGTTGTAGGTAGAATCCCAACGACATTATTCCTCACAAAATGTATTAGTATCATATGTTTTAAAAATGTACATGTTTGCGAAAAAATAGCTCAGCAGACAACAAAATCGTCGGTTTAATTCCTCACTTAAGTTACATTAACGGTTTGGGTTAAAAGTGCAGATCTTAACTGTTTTTCGAAATACCGTTTCTGTAACTTAAGTGAGGAATTAAATCGACGATTCTGTTGTCTTTTGAACTATTTGTTCGCAAATATGTAGATTTTCTTAACATATGATACTGATACACGTTTGTGATAAAAATGTCGTGGGAATTCTACCTACAACGTGTAGAATAAGGAAAAAAGAAAAATCGTATCTTCGATGTTCCGACATTTTGTTACCGAAACGGTTCCAGCGTAATCGAGTGGATCACCAGTGTTACAGTAATAATGCGAACGTTACAACGAATGAACCAATATCTGAACGGCGATTATGACGTAGTAGCGAGCGGGCAGATATACTATATCTGCCCGCTCGGAGTGGGACGTAAAGCTATATCTGCCCGCTGATGAAAATATAAATCTGCTTTATTGACCTGTAACACGTCCAAATATGGGATAAACAATATATATACATAAATGTAATGTTTAGCTCTACACAGAGATGTACCATATATGAACATAAATGCAATGTTCAACTCCACACATTAATTAAATATCAGGCCTACTAGAATCCACTAACGCTATCATCACCGATTCCCACATCGCAAACCACACTTTAGTGGTTCGCGATGTGGGAACTCAATTCGCTAGTGGAGAAATATGTTCGAGAAAGAGGAATTGGTGGTTTGCGACTTAAGCATCGAAATTCGCGTTGTGAGAACAGTGGTTCGGTTGGAAGGAACGTAGTTTGCGAGGTCGGAACTGATGAGCGCGTTAGTGGAAGTCTGAATATGTATACATAAATCCTGCTCTATTTCCAGATACGCGTATTAGGATTCGCGGATGATGGCCCAAGGTATATACACGTACATTTAAATGCTGCAGGTGAATACGTAGGATTGGAAGATGGGAAAAATAGAAAAACATGCATAGAGGCTTTCTAATGATGTCTTACAAAAAATAAAGGATAATACCTCAAATCGATTTATTAATAAAACCTTCAACATTATTCCAACACAAGTATATAGCTTCACAGTAAACATGACAGCACTGTCTAATTAATAAAACAGGAGATACTTTTTATTTACTATGTTGTACTCTAAACGATAAAGTTATGTAGATTAAACGCCATAGTGTTTTACGACTGTCATAGAATTTAAATGATTGACAATTATCAGTATATGAATTTGTACTTTAATGAATGATATATCCTTAAATAAATACAAATTATAATACTTTAACGTCAATCTTAACAATACTGACGTGGATATCCAGAGGACCTATCTGGGCTTCTAAGTAGCCTATTGCTCGCGATCGAGTGGAATCGGAGTCCCCCAGTATTCCAACATACTCCATTCAACAACTTCCATATAACATTTGATCTGCTATCTTAATTGATTAAATCAATCAGCTAATTGAATATGTATTATATTATTCTTATGATAAACCAACCTTCATATGGCTTGTGGTGCATGATGGTCCTTAGAAGTGGGGATAGGGAAGGGGTTTGGGGCGATGCATGGGCCGATCGTGTACATATATAGTTTGTAAACGTTTACATGCACCCTCACATGTAGATAAGTATACTTTATCATTCAGGTTTATTATCCGTAATAAAATATTTAATAATACACTTTACATTGTAAAGCATGAATATTTGTTTTATGCTTGTAAATATCTTATTGTCATCTCCTGTACTCCTGTAAATACCGAGGGAAAATGAACAATATTTAATTATAGTGTAGTGGTGAAAATATATATTGTATTTACAATGCTGTTCCCTATACAAGCAAAAGTCACAAGGATTTTGACAAGCTTGTCACTGAGATGACTTTTTTGAATGCGCTTAATGGTAAGCTGCTTGTGAATATCCAATGCTTCAAATATTTTTCAGTTTCTAAGATAAAGGATCAAACAAATTACCAACTGTTATATCCTCGCAAAACGAATTATATTGATGGGTGGCATCTGAGAAGGGGGAAACACAACTTATTCTTTATAGAAAAGCATGGATGGGGTGAGAATGTAGCATCACTGTTCGATGTTTAATGTGGTTTTACGACAGGAGGGACTCTGGGGTGTATGTCGATAAATGAGTTCAATCACGAAAAACATTGATATTTTGTTTGGGTCCCTTAGAGTCTGAATATTTATAAAAGCTCATAATGTAATAATGAATCACTAGAATTTCGTATCTCTCATCATTCGTTTAAACTACTTCGATGCATGACTTTCTCTTCTTGTTGTCCAATAGGCCAACATAATTCCCATCAGCGTCAACGTGCACGTGGATGTATCGCTGACCCGCATCATTTTCGAAGTCTCGTACCCGTATCTGTAAAATGAATCAAGAATGGCAATTTCTCAACAAAATGTAAAATAATAGGTATGGGATTATAATTTCAATCAAGAAAACTTCCGAGTCCAACTAGCACCTCAATAGAAAGCACAACGAACTGAACTTAATGATGTTCTGGTCTTATCTCCGTTTCACTGACAAAATGCTCTTATATAAAGACACTTCATTTGATGATACAGCATTATAATCTATTCTAACTGTCACTAATTCTTTTTATCATAATAATCGAATGTCGATCCAATATGATATATTGATGGCATCGGTTGGGCTATTAGGGATCTTGAAGCTATTCGGAATCTGAAAGTGAGCTTTACAGGGAAAGTGAAAGTCAGATTTCAGGGTCATATCATAAGTTCAGTATAGGTGTGATTAATAAATCAATAGTGTCAAAGCTAAAAAACACAAATGTGAACTCTTTAGACAATAGCAACATTTAAGCATATCATATTAACACAACGGTACACAATTATTCCGTGAGCTTTGCCAGATGTTCGTGGGTGGCGATATGGTGTGACCACGCTCTGCATAACTCCGCCTACTCCCAATTTTCTGTTTACATATTTTTGTAAGTTTTGTGGTTTTCTCCGTATTTCAGAACTTTTATACATCCCAAGGAGTGGGTATCGACATGGATATACTTATCCGCTAAAAGTCGATAGTCTCCAGGCAGGGAATACTAAAGGTCCGATTACTACTTTTACTTGGGTACAATGGTATCCTCTATTTCCTAAGTTAAAATTTGCTTGGGGTTCATTTTCTGGCCTGTTCATTCATGGGATGTTCCATCAATTGATCCGAGGGGAAATTGGAGATCCTTTCTCATATTTTTCAATTCTTCAAGAGATGTCTAGCGTACACTGGTTCCCATAATATCGGCCAAACATCTTTTATGAAATAGTTGCAATATCAACATCGAACATCAAGTAAAGGATAGCATGGGTATATCTCAGCCAAATGTGGGGAGAAGTCTATTGTGAGGCGATAGCTAGGTTATACAGAGATATAAAAACTTCATGGACAAAATAATGCCTGAAATATTACATTAATAAGGAACTGAATTATTTTCCTCCGAGAGCGACTAATACCCAGGACTGGAAGATAATATATGAAAATACAGCACTGTATAGTTCTCAATATACTGTACAATCAGATAAATTCTAAAAGAAAATTGTGAAATAAATTGTTTTTTTCTAAACCCTAATGACATGACCACTGAAATCTGACTTTCACTTTCCCTGTAAGGCTCACTTTCAGATGCATCACAACATGGGCTTTGAAAATTCGGACATACGAGGGAGGTAAGCAAGAGACGTAATTATGTCTGTTATCTCCAAGCTCTAGGTCTCTACTCTTTTCGTAAAGGAAACTCTAACGACGGAAGTAGAACGAGCTACGTTTTTAACAACAATTATAACAATTTATAGTGCGATTTTAGGAATTATTTTAATATAAAAGAATATGATGGCCCTAGACAATGATACAAATATATTATACACACGTTCATTCTAGAAGTTGAACTCACTAAATGATATCCAAATCATTTGCAACTACCCGGAACTCAAGGAAGAGGAATAATTGTAAAAATATATGTTTATTCACCTTTCCACAAAGTCAGCTCATGAATATTATAATGAGCTGCTTAAAAATCTGTGACGTCAATGACTGAAACTTTTTCCCGCGAAAAACAAATGCAATTGACTTAACATGTAAATCCTCGGTTGATTGCTGTAAGTTTTACCTCTTCAAATGTGCAAGTAATCAGTAAATTATTGACAGATTTTGATTAAACGTCAAATTGACATTTATTTACGCCTTCTTGGCGATTTAAATATTAAATTTCTGTTCATAATGAGTAAATAATTTGAAGAGAATTACTCCCGGTCAGTTTTCAATCATGATAGGAACTGGATGTGAACAGGTGAAATTATCATAATCATTAGTTCACCAACATTATAACATGTCTCTCATGCATAAAAATATATAGACAGACAATCTATTTTAAGTTAATCTTCAGTGTCATTTGATGAATGACCTGTTCAAATTAAAAACATTTGCTCTTATTCATTAAAGTCCCCGTCTTCATTCATTTACTATTTGTCAGGACTTAAAAAGTGATTTTTGAACAAAAATTTTTTTTTGAAAAAAAAGTTGTGAGCATTTCATTTCTCATATATTCAAATTTCCCGCCATTTTTCAAAAAAAGTTGAAATTTCTTAATCAATCAAATATTTCTTAATGCATTTCAAAAAAGATTATATTTTTAACACCAAAGCAAAGACTGAACAAAAGACACACTATTTCAATAATAAAATGTCATATTTAATGGGCAACTTCAATGTTTTAGCTTATCAAAAATATTTTGAAACATTAGTGATGTCACTAAGGTAACAAAAACTTTTTGAAAAAAAATTGAATTTTTTTTTCGATGTCAATCTTTTCTAAATATGCTAGACTTTCATAAAAAACCAATGTTGATTGTCTAACCAGGTTAAAAGGAAGAATAAATTATGTTTTAGATATCATTGTACCATTGGTTTCTATGAGAACTAAAATTTTGAAATGCATTTTTCTCAGAACCATTTTCATGCACTGATAAGTTCATTTCTCGCTTGTTTATCAACCGATTTTCTTAATTTGTTTGGCAAAAAACATGGGAGGATGTATGCTATGCAGTAGTATGAATTGTGGCTAATTAGAAGATATGAGTGACCTCTAAAAGTTGGTTTTAAATAAATTCACAAATTTTGGAACAAAAAGTCTATTAAAAACCACTTTTTGAAATAAAAAAAAAAGTTTCACATATCACACTTTGATAACATTGGGTAAGACTACAATATAAGCCAAAGTGGTTTAAACTTTACATGGGGCCTTTAAATCATTGACTTCACTACTTCCATAATTCAATCAACTAAACGATTACTTCCTATTTATTTCTGCAAGTCATATCAGAATTGATATCTTAGAGGAACGTGACATATATAGAGATTATCCTACATGAGGTTCAGGATATTTGGATTATCCCGAGGCAATTATAATATATCTGCCCGAGGGCCGAAGGTCCCGAGGGAAAATATATCATATTGGCCAAGGGATAATCCCAATACCCTGAACCGACTATAGGATAGTGTGTTTATCTCATACCAATCTTGGTCATCTGGTTCACATTGTTCAATCGTGGAAATATTTTAAAATATTCATGTCCAGTTTTGTTTTCTTGACCGTGGGCGGATTTTCCTGTTCTCTCAAATATTCCCAATATACGTCCAATATACGTCCAAGTATGGGTTAAACAATGTCATGTATATATATTCCAATGTCTATTTCCCACTGTGTATCTCCCGATCCAAATATCCCCGGGAAAATGTTTTTTATTCAGTGTAGAAACAGTCAATTTGTTTAAATATCTTGCTAAAGCAAAACTGTCAAAATAGATCCAGCAGACTGTAGAATTTTTCTTAACCAAAATGATGATGGATTTCTCGAAAATAATGAGAATGAGAACGCTTAATAGAAATCAAACATGGATATGGGTGTCCTGATTTCACTTGTGAAACCTCACTTGTCATTGGATAAATTAGTTATGTGATGATCGGTCGGAATAATGATCATTGGGAAGATTTCAGAGAAAGAGCGTATTACATCATGTAATGTTTATTGATGATATGTTGACATTGCTGATCATTATTGACATCGCTGATGGCGAATACATACCAAAAGGTAACGCTTTGCGCGAATGTCACTCATGGTGAATTTCTGATGGAACTTCTTACTACGACATAATAACCATTTAACAGGATAGTGTATGACCACTATCAGATAATTTAGCCGATGTTTGTAACTTCACAATTTACATTTTTTGTTTACAATCGCACGAGACACGTGAGCCCGGGTATGTGAGGCTGATCTGAGAAGTCTTAATGAACAATAGTTCTGTCAAAAAATGATTAAATTAAATTACATAAGATTCGGAAAGAAAGTGCCCCGTCCATATTTCATATTTGCTTAAAAATAATTAGTACGTTGGTCAAATAGAATCCTTTTTATAGCAGTTAATTCAAAATATTCCTATGCTGGCTGTACTAATTCTTCAAAACTTTCCATCATTGACGTCATTGATTTGACTCATTTGCATACAACCAATCAGCGCGCTGGAAATTATCGATTTTCTTTACTTTGTGGAAAGGTGAATACCTTTACATATTTGTCATCACCCTCTTGTATGTAAATGCGAGGCTGAAACAAGTCCGTGTCTATACCCAGGATCGCTCCAATCTCCGTCTTTAGCTACAATAAGATTTGAGTAAGTGTCGCAATACTGTATTCACATATCTAGGCAAGGTGTGTCTTCCAGCCAATCAGAACACGCTATTTCGTATAATTGTATTGCAATACAAAATGCAAAACTAATGAAACCGATTGATCAATTTCATAGTTCAGTAAAATCAAAAAGTAGTTCCATATGGAATAACAAGCCAAGTGCTTATGCAGGACAAATGGTAAGTGTTGGAAGGTTGTCAAGGTGACAATTTGACCCTTGCAAAAGGCTTGCCTAAAAATATATTCATTTCATGTCTTTTAAGTGATATTGTATAAACCATTTTGCAGTGTGTGAAAATAGTTTTAGCCCAAGATTTTGCATTGTGGCTGATTCATTCCACTCTGGTGTTGTTTCTCCAACTTATCACTCGATGCTATGCATCCTATGCATGACAAGCAGTCCAAAGTGCTCCGAGTCTAGGGCTTAAATCCTTAAGTATTGTATCATATATGATTGCCCAGTCTCATCCGGGCAACTTCTGAGACTTAATCTTCATCGAACAATCAGCTTTGTTAGTACCTCAGTTGAAATACTCGATTTTGATTGGTCAACGAGCGGTGAATAATTTTAACTGTACACCGCGCAATGCATTGCCGGTGAATAATATTCCCAGCATTCCACTAAAATGACGTCATTATCAGACGATAAAATGGCCGCCGCTAGCAGCTAGCCGTTTCAAAAATGTTGAAGATGAGGATATTATTAGTCTCTTAGAGAGTAAAGACAGTCAAAATACGAAGAAAAATCTAAAACTTTGTACAAAGCTTTTAGTGGACTTCGCCCAGGAGAGTAATTTGACTCCATTGAGTGAACTTACTGCCGATATACTGAAATACAACATGAACGTCTCGAGGGTCTGGATCCAACTTCAAGTCAACTTCAAGGGTCAGAAAAATCTAAGATATTCTTCGGACTAACAAAACAATTATAGACCTCTCCATTCGGTTTACTGTCAAAATTATATCCCTCGACTGTAAACCTCGACCTACGGTCTCGGTTTACAGTCTCGGGATATAATTTTGACAGTAAACCTCTGGAGAGGTCAATAATTGTATATAATCTAACAGTGGATCGGAATTGAAAATAAATCTAAATTCTTGCCACATATTCTTCTGAATTTACGATTTTGCGGTGTACATTTGGTTTTCATACAGACATAATTCGTTAGCTAAGACAGGACTCAAGCTAGATAAATAGAAATAAAAAGGTGTCGCTAAAATAAAAAAGAACTAAATCCCATGCCGGCCAATACTACGGTCTGAGTTGTCCATCAATAGGACATCACACATGAAGATAATACAAAATGTACCCCCTTAATAGTGTCCCACAGGTCACCAGCTACTTTGTAATAGTCTCGGTCACATCTCTCAGTCAATTCACGACTGAAGTCACTCGTGGGAAGGGTGATTTGGGAGCCTGGTGTAATTGCTTCGGTGGTTTCAGTGATTGGAGGAGTGCCTTCGGTGGTTTCAGTGATTGGAGGAGTGCCTTCGGTGGTTTCAGTGATTGGAGGAGTGCCTTCGGTGGTTTCAGTGATTGGAGGAGTGCCTTCGGTAGTCTGTTGTTCCTCACCACCGACTGGACGTTCAACTGAAACGCAGTAGAGTCTTACACAAAGGATGAGTCTGGGAATGAGTCTGGCTATCGACTTCGAAAATATTGAAAATTGTAATGTCTGAAAAACCAACTCAATCACACATATTATTAAACTTCAATATCTTATCCTTCTTCTGAGAGTACAAAAATATCAATTTGTATCACAATTGATGAAGAATATTGGCATCCAAGACAATGCATATCACTTTGCTAGAATTGAAAAAAAATCAATGGCAAATATTAAATGAATTGTTTATACAAAAAGTTTGAAACATATCCTCCAAAACATTGCTTACTTTCTTTTTATAGACACTGAATGGTATTTCTGGATAGTGAATTGGTGTTTATCTGGGTAATCAAGGGATTATAGTCACTCGAAGTTACTGAGCATCCAGTTTTGGCACTTCAATTGTGTTGGTGAAGCTACACATATTTCAGTCAAATTCATGCTGAGCACAACATTTTGGTTTCAATTTTATAATCTCTATACATGACCCTGGTGATGAAGAGTCAGAATCAGTCAAAAGACCTAAACCGGAAAACTGTGCTCATTGTGAAAACTAAACCTTTTTTCTGATATTTCTTACATCAAATGGCAGCCATCTTGTTTTTCCCCCTTCAAATTAAACTGGCGGGAAATTCAAAAATTTGAAAAAAAATTAATCCTTAAATATATTTCAAAAATATGATTTTCTTTTTAATTCTTCAAGGGTCGTAAGTTATTTCTTCTTTGTATGTCACACATGTTGCCATTGGTGTTTTTTTTCTATGATAATGACTATTTTTGTTAAGATACTTATTCTGACTCTCAGCAGGGGGTTAATTATGCATCAAAACTCGTGAAAAAGTAAATATACTTGTCAAATATAACTAGGACAGTAATAAAAACCATATTTCACATTCATTTGACTGAGGGACCAAAAGGGCATATATCCAGACACATCCTTTCTGACAAATCAGGATTCAAAACAAGACAGAGGAGGTTACAAAGACAAAGACAACGGTCAGTCATAGTAAAACAAGTATACCTGTCTACAGTCAACGCATAATCTAAGGGATTAATATACACATGAAAAGTTTGAGGTAACAAAAAATGAGCATTGTGCATGAAGGAAAGAGAAAACATGAAGTTTGCATCTTATTTACCAGATGTTGGTTCCGGAATATCAATGCAATCTCGTTTTGTAAATTCGCCTGGCTGAACATCAACGAATCCACTGGCGTTCACCAAGACATGAACAAACGCTATTTTTGAATCATTCATTCGTTTAACCCGTATCTGAAAATTCAATTATAAAGTTGATTTTTACATAATACTATTCGATTAATTATGGCAGTGTATGTAATTTGTAGTCTAAACTACACAAGCTGTTTGAGAGTAAAACTGGATTAGTTTTTTGAATAAGACAAAGGTATATTATAACCTGTGCTACTTCTAGACTCTTATATCATTATGTTTTGAACAGCATGATAATCGCAAATCTTGTTTGGAGGATCGAAACTCATTCTTGGGAGTGTACAAAGTTCTAAAACACGTTTACCTTTACTCCATAGTAATCTGACCCAATGTTAACAAACGTGTTAGAATCCCATTTTAACGTATCGCCGTATCCCAGGGCCTCATATTGTGCACGGGCCTACAATTCAGACGTCTACATACTACTCTATGTTTAAACATATTGCCGCTTGTTTTATGTAACCTGAGGATATATAGGGGTTATACACTGGGTGGTTTTGGATACAGGTCATATCCTGAGGGATATACACTATATCTTCCCGAGGGCCCGAATGGACCAAGGGAAGATATTGAATATACCATATTTCCTGTATTAAAACCGACCGTGCATAACTGTTGTATTCCATACCTGATGAGGTTTTAATACTAAAATACTAAGCATGTCTCCCATATGCTGATGTGTTAATTTGCTTACTTGAATTGAACACCAAGACGATTCTTCTTTGCGATGTGTTCGTTTTTTGTTTACTAAGAATTGATTCACATTATTTGTTTTTTAAAATTTTGAATTTTGTTCACTGTTCTGCCATCATTGCATTTTGTTTAGTTCAGTGCTGCAATAGTTATGACTGGAATTCCCGGGGCGAGATGTATAGCCATCGTACGTCCCGGATAACGCCATATGTGGAACATACGAAATATATTTGCCCGGATATCGAATATATTCCCGGTTAATATATCCCTGAAACCTCATCAGGTATGGAATACAACTACGTACGTATACAGATACAGAAGCGCTATCTATTTTAAAATGTTTTGATGTAATATTTTTTATGAAAACTATTTAGTTCCATTTACAAAATATAAGGTGTTATCGATCTTTATGTTGGCTATTGTAAACCTATTTGCAAACAAACTTCTAAACTATAAGGAAACCTTTAATCGAGTATAGAATAGGACAATACCGATTTCGCAAGTTGTAAAACATCGGGATAATCCTTGACGTAAGAATAATCTCTAGGAGGTGTCAGGCGACTACAGTCTCTGTTCATCTTATCCAAGAAGATTAGACCGAGTGGATCTAAAATTATACCATGATCTTAGCAAGGAAATGTAGTGGTGTCATTTTAATTGAGCCTATAAATCAAATAACGTACAAATCACAAACTAGGGTCCAAATCGCCAATGGCGTGGAATGTACAATGTGATTATGTACTGTAACATTTCATGAGTGTATGCCACATTTTATGAATTTGATTTTCACGATTAAATATTTTAAACGTGATATCACATACGAATTCCACACAAATTATAAAAATGTGATTCCGACAACTTCTATCAACCTCAAGTAAATTATTTTTAGATCTCCTCAGGTGGAGATTGAATATGTGTTCAAAAATGTGTTCAAAAATGTGTTCAAAAGGGCTTGCTCCTTTCTCCACTAAGTGAAGAAGGGGGGAGAGGATTGTTAACAAGCATATTGTTTCCATGGATGCTGGCTATGCATATAACAAAACTGTTTAAAATCCTATTTAAAAAGTATAACTTCGGGTTCAATTCTTAAAGGCTTCACATGCATGCAACGAAACAGCTGTAGTTTGTGGGATTGCATTAAAGGCGCTTAAATACAAACCATCCGCCATTGGTATTTCGATGCAGTCCTTTTTCTTGAAGAAGCCCTCTTGGCTTCGTATATACTCGCCATCCGCACTAACCAGTATGTGGATGAATGCCTCCTTACCACTGGCCATTGTCTTCACTCGTATCTAGCATAATTTATGGACACGTGATCATATTAGTCATATATTCATATGAAGGTTGTTTTCAGGATGATCCTTTGATCATGTTCATCGAGGATGTACAGTAATTATAAGCTTCGCATGATTAATAAATAATAAATTCATATATTATTAAAAGAGAAAAATTATATTTTTAATGATATACAAATATGTTCGCATGAAAACCAAATAACCAGTTGTTTGGTTGAGAGGGCACTAGGTAGTCTGTGCCCCTCGATTATTTCATGGCGACTTGTCGGAAAAACAATGCAGGAGAAACATACCTTCATTGCGTAATCAAGGCCACTTTTTATATATGTATTTGCATCCCATTTTAACTGTTTGCCAAATTCAGCTTCATATCCTTCCCTTGCCTGCATAACACATTACAGCATTAAATACAAGTTATGGGTTATCTTATTGCAGCAGGTGACTGATATTCCCCGGGAAATAAATTACATCCATCCCAAGGAATCTACATTCCCCAAAACAGTTAATCTAAGGATGTCATTAGGGCACAAAACAAACATATTATAGACATAAAATTGCAGACTAATTACAATCAACGCGTTTATACAGCGGCTGTATGTGTCTCGAAATCGAAGGTGTTGATGATTCGCGGTGTCCCCATGGCCAAGGTGATTTGAGGGATTACAGCGCGACATTTGAAATTTTTCTCTCTATGTTCACCTACATATATTAGACTCTACCCAACGAACGCAGGCGTTTTTTACGCCTGCGTATTTGTGATGAATGACATAACCAAACATTAAGCATACGTTGCGCTGTGTTTGCCTTGTGTGCCTTTTGTGGACTCCCACAAATCGCAGCATTCTAAGGATATTTAAAGTGTGCGCCAAAGTTTAAAACTGCGCAGGCGCACCGCTCTCGCTAAACTATATAAAGAGATTACCAGGTACACGATTCAGAGGTAAGCCAGGAAGGCGAACGATCTTCGTCTCGTGATGATTTCCCATATAATCGTAACCAGGGAAGTTTCACCATTGAAATTGAAAATTACTATTAGATATACTTTGTAGATGTTATTTATGAAGCTATTTAGTGTTTGCATCAATCAAATGGCTCATTTTGAACATATAAAAAGTATTTGTGTTTTGTTTCCCTGGGAATTGTATTGTATGTAGTACACACATAAATAGTGTACATTATACAGTACTTGAATAGCCTGGTTTACATTATGTTGAAGGGCATGCTGATTACATGCACACGAGTACATGGAAGGCCTAATATTGATATACGTAGCTTGCAAACCTAAATAAAAAATAAACTCTTCTAATCCCCTAATGTAAACACGGCGGTATACGTAGCCCGATTTATCGGGGACTTTAACCACAAACGCAGAAAAGTAATACAGAGAAAGATACATTTTAACCCTACTATCACACCAAACTAGTTCTCACTACGTTCTCGAAAACGGGCTTAAACTGTGCACGAACGGATTTGACGTACTAAGAACCCACTAAGAACCGTTTGGGATCTGTTTACAAACTTCATGAAACTACTAGAACGAGTAGGTCCTCCAGCACTTAGAGCATGCTCAAAATTTTCTGGTGATCGTCAAAACGCCGAATCGGTTTTAAACTGTGTGCGAACTGAATGAACGTAGCTACAATGTTCTACGGTCTGTTTACGAACTTCATGGATTTTCCCGGACGGGGTATGTGATTTAGAATTTTGAATCGATTCAAAATTCGATGGCGACCAGACCGTTCTGTAATCCGGTCATGATGACCTTCTAGACTAAGGGACAGTTTATACTACGTTGCACACCGACGTGGTGCGACCTGAACGAACTGCGAATGAGATATGACGTATTGAAGACTGTTTATGAACGAAGTAGCTAATTATTTTAGACATATATCCCGACCGCAGCCAGATTGAGCCCGTTTTACGACATTTTCGTAGGACTGGCAAGAACGGGTAAGAACTAATTTGGTGTGATAGGGGGGTTAGATTTAGTTGAAAACCAATTGTACAGAAATTTAAAACATGATTAAACACTTTTTCAACTTATATAGGCCAGCAGTTTTGCTTTATTTTTTAAGTTAATTAACCATGTTTTGAAATGATTTAGAAGAGGGACGCTCAACGTAACAACTTCCTGACAACTTTTTGAAAACTGCGCGCTACAAATCTACGTTGGCCTTACGGTTTACGATAACAGTGCAGCACACAAGGCGGGCAACGCAATACCCACATGCGGCTCCCCCAAGCTCGTTGAGCGACATCCGCACAACTCCATTGACAGTCTGTGCCGTACCAGGGGCGGGTAGGCCGTATATATCAGCTTTCAATAAGACTGATGCATTACCTTAACAAAATATATTTTTACTTACACCTTTACACGCCTTTAGTACAACTGGGTCTTCTTGAACATATAGGTAACTTGGGCCGCCACATGCGATGAACATTTTTTCCAGCAACTTTGGATTTCCAGCGGAGCAACAAGTCGCGAATAATCCAACAAGCAAAAGAAGTAGAGTGTCCATTTTGACTTTCCCTGTCTATTGTATAATCAATTGTTTTGCAGCCCAACTACATCGACTCTTCCAGATATCAGATACACTAGTGCATAGAATAAATTATAAAGACAGATGATATCATTTCATATCATGAATTAAAATTGTCGCGTAAAAAATAAAGCATTTAACATTTTTCAAATGAATTAATAATGTTGTAATGTGTGCCAAATGCAATATTAAACAACCGCATTTTTCTCACCGGTTGTATGTTTCCTCCTTTAGGCCTAACAAAGGCCAAGGCTCCAATTCATGTATTTTCTAACATGGTTCCTGAACTATGCTTCGCTCGATTTGAAAGATATTGATGGGTATATCTCAACAACAACTTACACATGATTGCATCAAATTAATAACGAATAAGGTTAACATATAAAATTCAAGTCAACACAACAAATTAGGCCTACACATGACGCATTACGTTGATGTATTTCTTTATTTTGAATTCTTTAATAGTAAATGTAACACTGTAAAGTAATGATAATGAAAGTAATTTTCATAATGTTTCAATAAAAAGGGCCAATAAACTCCGATACATGAACCAGTACATCGATGCATGATCCTTAACCATGATAGACGAGTATACTATTATAATTATCTTACTTGAGGATACGCTAGACCTTTCGATGTTTCATATATCATGCTAGAATACTTTCAATCTTTCAAAGCTTCGTATTACCAAAAACATTAGTTACCATAGCGACCTTAACTTTTGAACATGTAACATCGAAAAATAAAAGGAAAACAATGCCCGAACATGCAAAGTAAAAATATATTTAACTCATTGATCACTTATTGAAGGGCGTTGTTCATAGGTTTATGTAAATATGTTAACACGAAAAATTGAAAAGTAACAACGGAAATTACAACCAGTTACAAGAAATCGCACATCTCAATTAATAATCAAGCGTACATGTACAAGTATACACCTTTCCCCACTATGGAACATGCAGAATAGCTTATAGGAACCTTAGTTTTTTGTTTTAGGGTACGTAAATAGAGATTGGAGAGGTTAAGCAAATACGGTTTTTCAAAACGTATACGTAAACGCAAAGTACATTGAATCAACATAGGATTGTATCGCTTTAGTCTACTTCAGATACCCGTTCAACTTCAAAGTTGCGTGTTTAGAACGGGAGATTTTAAATTTTCACGTTGCTATCAACGGGAATCATTATACTCATGTCTGTTGAATACTATCCTTGCAATTTTGATTTCGATGCAGAGTATAATTCTTTCTAACCCTACTATCACACCAAACTAGTTCTCACTGCGTTCTCGAAAACGGGCTTCAACTGTAAACGAACGGACTGGACCTACTAAGAACCGTGTGGGATCTATTTCCAAACTTCATCGAACGTACTCGAACGGGTAGGTCCTCTAGAACTTAGACAATGCTCAAAATGTTCTCGTGGTCGTCACGTTCTACAATTAGAACGAGTGACAACGTACTAACGACGAGCTGGACGTACTACGAACGGAACCGTCGTACTTCAATCCTACTAGGGACGTTTTAACAACGAGTTGAACTGTCTGGGGACGTATTGAGAACGAGGTAGAACTAATTGCAAACGGGTTTAAACTGATTAAGAACGTATTTAAGACTGCTTATGAACGAGTTAGCAAATATATAGCTATCACACCAAACAAGTTGCCACTGCGTTCTTCAAAACTGGTTTTAAACTGTGTGCGAACGGAATGAACGTAGCTGCAACTTTCTAAGGTCTATTTACGAACTTTATGAACGTTCTCAGACGGGAATGTGATTTTAGAATTTTGAATCGATTCAATATTCGATGACGACCATACCGTTCTGTAATCAGGTCATGTTGACCTTCTAGACTAAGGGACGCGTTCTACGACGTTGCACACCGACGTGGTGCGACCTGAACGAACTGCGAACGAGATGGACGTATTGAAGACTGTTTAAGAACGAAGAAGCTAATTATTTCAGACATATTTCCCGACCACAGCCAGATTGAGCCCGTTTTACGACGTTTTCGTAGGACTGGCAAGAACGGGTAAGAACTAGTTTGGTGTGATAGGGGGGTAAAGAAGATGATGTATGTTACGCATGATTTAACTCCAATAATCTTACGAAACGAGCTCGTTTAAAATATGTATTAGAAAACCAGCTATTGAACTTCATCAATGGCATACTATGTAATCATTACAAGCTATGGTGTAGTCTAACCCCCCTATCACACCAAACTAGTTCTTACCCGTTCTTGCCAGTCCTACGAAAACGTCGTAAAACGGACTCAATCTGGCTGTGGTCGGGAAATATGTCTAAAATAATTAGCTACTTCGTTCATAAACAGTCTTCAATAAGTCCATCTCATTCGCAGTTCGTTCAGGTCGTACCACGATCGGTGTACAACGTCGTATAACGCGTCCCTTAGTCTAGAAGGTCATCATGACCTGATTACAGAACGGTATGGTCGCCATCGAATTTTGAATCGATTCAAAATTCTAAAATCACCTTCCCGTCTTAGAACGTTCATGAAGTTCGTAAATAGACCTTAGAAAGTTACAGCTACAGCAGTCCATCTATTAACGAAAGTGTCACTTTGCCGTCCGCCGTACACTCCTTTGCCGTGCGAGTGCGATACCCTTGTTTTACTTGAGCGGCGCGGTCGCTTCGCGTGTGTGACTACCTCGCGTTTACCTTGCTTTGCGACAGGACTTAACCCGCGAACCGTTCGTGCTTACATAGCTTAACGCCAGTGTTGCCTTCGCTCAACGATTGTATACGCATATTAATTAAACTAAACCTACATTATTTTTCATTTACATATGTAGTAGAGACTATATTAACTCAACTTTCAGACAAGATTTTAGTGTTGCGTTTTTCTCAGTTTCAATGAATATTTGATTCGTCTAATCTGTTTTGAAAAAGAATACAATTAAAGTGATTACGGATCATTCCATTTCACATTGGTCCAGTGGCACACATGTACAAACATTTGAAGCAGTTGTATACGCTTTTCGGTGATTTAATTTTTTTTAAATTACGTTTATTAATAAGTCGACAGGAATGTTACGCCTATTCTTCTTACAGTAGTTTCGTGCGCGTGTGTACAGTCCCGGAGTAGTTTTGATGAATTAACCTTTTTGGGGGGACGTGCTCTAGTTGCACTCCGGCCTTCAATACTACATCATACAGGGCCGGTCGGCTCTGACGAAACCCAGAGCAATATAGCAACCATGTTACAGTCTGAATCCACTTTTCAGGCTCTAAACAAGCCATTTGAGAAACTGCATTAATCGGTCTATAATTCTGCAATTTGTCGTCGGAATTCTTAATAAATAACACCATGGTTTAGCTCGGAACGATAGCTTCCCGATGGTAAAAAAATAAATTGAGGGAGGGACAGGAAACCCAGGGGTTCATATTTATTATATGTTCACGTACAAGTTCTCTAAAATACGTGTACATGTAGCTAGCCTCTCTGTTTCTACGTACACAACATCCTGTAAATGCACAAACTGTACAAAGAATATCCATATTTAATTCATCTTTTTAAAGTACTAAAAATTCCAGATTTCAAATTCGAATTAAATCCTATATAACATCCATAGTAAGAACAATGTAAAGTATTTTCCATAAATAAGGGGTTTAAATTTAGTGACATGACATATGTTGTCATAGATATAGTTTATTTCTACTCCCGGGCACAAGGGCCGATTACAGCTTGAAATTGTGAAATTGCAACAGACACAATTACGTACTTATTTATGTAATTATGTACAACAGTACATAATTTCGGCAATAGCAAATACACCAAACGTGTGAATTTAATAACTACATTATGATATTCTGTCTCGATATTCTGTATTGGCACTCGACTTCGTCTCGTTCCAATACGGAATTTCTCGAGCAGAATATATCCTGTATTGCACTTCAAATCATTCAATAACTTTTAATATTATTTACATCCAAAACGTATCGTTCTTACTCTATTGATTCACAACAAGCAAATCACAAATAAAACAAGCATTTCCTCGCGTGCATTTAACTTCTACAGTGAGTAATTACATGTACTCCCGTGGGTTCTCAAAGTTTCACTTATTTTAGGCAACCCCCCCCCCTGGCCAAAAACTCTTTCAAAATCATGCAGTTTTTCATAATTCTGACCATTTTTCGTGTGATTTTGGGTCAAATTTGCAAAATGAAGTCTTCGAATGAACATTCATTTGCCATGATAACCACCGAGATGCAATGGTCAACTTTTGCTTTTACGTTTAATTATAATCAACGCCTTCCCTAAATTTCTTGTTAGATCATGAATGCCTGACTTCACCAAGCATTTAAATTATATTTTGCGTTTTATCATCTTTCCCAAAAGCTACAATTCATGCATATGGTACAACTACTACTAACTGACTTTGGTTTATCATTCTTTTGTTGCAAATATGGGAATGTTTCAACGACTTCAATCTAGGGATTTATATAGACGGGACTTCCCCTTTTGATAATGTAATTATATATTTTTCTGTTTTTTAGGTTCCCGTGGGTAGGATACACACAAGAACAATATACGGCCCATCCTAAAGGGGTACAGACACAACAATGGCGTTCTTCAAGTTATAGCCGTGGAATAATATAGTTTATGCATCTTGCCTCAAGCGACGTGTTAAGTCTGACGTGATAACCCTAAAAAGGTTTATCCCATATTTGGTTTGAGAAACAGTTGCTGAATACAAGTGCAAACTATGAAATAACCATAATATAACAATAGATAATGTTTGGCATGCATTGTGTTTCTGTTTCATTGTTAAATTAGTTGAAAGTATATACAAAGAAGTTAATCACCAGGAGGGATTTCATGTGGGGAATATCACATGATATGAATATATCCCGAGGGAACGCAGTGACAGAGGGAAATATTGATATCATCCGAGGGATATTCTCAATATCATCCCGACAGGTGAATAACGACCTTATACCATGATCAAGAGCAAAATATATCTAAAATCCTCTTTTGAATGAGAGAAAATGTTTGAAAAAATTAAAATTTTTGTTTTTGAAAAATGAAATTTTTTAATAATACCCGGGTTGATATCCATATCATCCCTCTAATCCCAATATCATCCATATCCTAAATATATGATTTATCACTTGCTATTGAATACTGAGATATTGCTCTGACCATGGTATAAAAAGAATAACTTATCATAAGCAGATTTCTTTTCAGGGTGTTCAGCGGCGATGTAGGACTGTAAATAAGCGTCACACACCCCGGACGCACATTTCCTCGGATAT